ATTAGGCACAGGACAACGTACAGCTTTACAATGTATTGGGAATATTGTTAGGAGAAGTACATTGTAAAAATCATTATTAGCTGCCTCCTGTAATGCAGACAACCCAGTGATAAAATGTATGAGAGGTTGATGAATCATACTGTAATAGTAACAATAACAATGATACAATGATAATTAAGAACTTGAAGGGTTTGTGAACAAGCTGCTGAGTGCTACTAGGCAAGTGGCTATATTGTATAATTCTTGAGGACCAAAAACAGTATTTTTTCAGTAGGAAGAAGAATAGGTGAAGTATTGTATGATAAAATGGTCTAAGAACTTTGAACACAATATAATGATGGAATTGTAATTCAATGGGTGGATGACTTTGAGGGACAAGGGGAAGAGGTGCTGCCTAGAAAACAGTAAACTGAGTCCAAAATTATGGTTATAAGTCATTGCAATCATAAGTTGAGGCATCACGCGACTGGACCCATTTCTTTTGTCAATTTTACAGGAGTTGTTAAGTGAATGCCATAGTCATTAAGCAAATCTATTTTCCCCAATGAGTGTTGTTTTTGCTGAAAACCAGAAATAAGCACTGGAAATCAGCAAAAACCCAAAACAAATATTGGTCATGTGTATGCGGGATGCGGCAAACAGCCATAAAGGTGAGCCAATCACCAAGCACCCAAAATGTGATCATGTGATGGTGGAGGTGGCATGCAGTTGCCACAACTTCAAAAAGAGGTCATAAGTAGCTCTTGGAAAGTCAGTTATAACTTCAAAAAGTTAAGTGACTGTCCATAAACCGAGGAACTGCCTGCAACCTAAAAGAGAATTTTTATAAAATGCTGTACCATTGGTATAGATTCCAGAAAAATTGTCTAGAAGAGTGTTTCTCAACCTCATCAGTTTTAAGATTTGTTGACTTCAACATCCAGAATTCCTTGGCAAGCATGGCTATCTATGGAATTCTGGGAGTTGAAGTCCACACATTTTACAGTGGCTAAGGTTGAGAAATACTACATTAGAACATATAAAGATGCTTCAAATGTATGTTGGAAATGTGGATAACATAAATGGCGATTATATTATGCCTGTGGACTTTACTTTCTGGGTTCAAATACCTATAAGGATACAAAAAAATTTGAACATCAAGAACCAGAACTTTTCTTGCTGGGATTATGGGACAGTCAATTAGAAAAGAGCCACTGAAAATTATTTTTATATATGATTATTGCTGCAAGATTATTATATGTTCAAAAATGGGAAGACTCTGAAATACCCAGAGTGAAGGAATGATTGGTGAAGATGACAGAATAGCAGAGACGGCAAAATTTGGTTAAAGAAAGATCAGCAATTATATTTATGAGTAACTGGAGACTCCTTTGCTGAAAAAAGAAAAAAAATGAACTTAGGTGTTATGGGTTTGATGATTAGAAAGGGTAACTTATAGAAAGAAAGAAATTATGATATAACTTGAGAGAGAGAGGTCAAAACATAAATGTGTTTATAATCAATCTCAAGAAGAGATTGCTTCTTTATATTTTTATTTTCCTTTTCTATTTCTCTTTTCACTAAGGTGACCAACCATCCTCCTTTAGGGAGGACATCCTCCTTTTGTAAGTTCTGTCCTCCCTCAAAAAGTGTCCTCCTACATGTCCTCCTTTTCAATATTTGAAGACTAATCTGCAAGGCTTTTTTTCTCTCTCATAGAATACTCAGAACAGCGTTTGGGCACCTTTTTTTTAATGTTTTTTTTTCCCAACTTTTGCATGAGCTGTGCTACTCCCACTATTGGCTTTCAAAAGCCAATAGGAATTGCTGCTGAGCACGCCAAAACACCCGGCTGGCAAACTTTGCACATGCAAGTTGTCTGTATTATTGTTGCAATGAATAAAATGTTTCTTTTATTTACAATATTTTTTTTCTTCAATTTATTTGTGTCCTCCTTTTCATTGCAAAAAGGTTGGTCACCTTATTTTCATTGTTTACTGTTTTTCTTTATTATCTTTATTTTCATTTATGGTTTTTCCTATGACTCCCAAAGGAATGTTCCCTGCCAGATTTCCATAAGGAAACTCAGTAGGGAAGACTCAGGAATTTGCTGCTATTCCCTTTACCTTTTTGCCCATCCTTGGTCATTTTTGGTTGTCTAGTAAGCTGTAAAATATGGATCTTGATGGATGTATAATGTACTTATTTCCTGCATGGAGGGGAAAAAAAACCCTCTAAAAGTATCCATCTCATCCTACCCAGTATAATAATCCTGGTGTTTTTAACCATTGAAAATAATGGAGAAAAAAGGAGAGGCCCTCATTAAAAATGGGAGTTGAAAAGATGTTCACCAGTTACTAGTACAAATGAGCTCTGCAGTACATGAACAGAAATCTTACCCATGAAATAAATGCAAACTAATTCTAAAAAAAATGGATGAGTATTTTTTTAACCTTAGATTCATTAAACTGAATAATCTTAGTAGTGGTCTGTGTATTGGATTTTTGAACAGCAAGTAACGTATTCTGTACCATAAAACACAGAAGCAACATGGTTCACATTTGTGAATTGCAATACAAGAATTAAACTCTTAACCTGAATATTAATATATTGACATTTGCTAGAGTGTGATGAAATTATAATGTCAATTAATGTCAGTCCTATGTTCTATGGCCTTCTCTTTTTTTTTGTAATGTAATAAATCTTCGTACATTGTACCATTCCAATGCAGATTCCAATGCAGTACTATTTATGTACTATGATTAAAATTATGAACATTCTATTATTTAGGAAGCTTAAAGTAGTGAAAATAAAAAGAGAAGAGTAAAAATACTATCAGTAATAATTGTAATTCAGGATATCAGTATTACAAACATAAGATTACTTGACTTTTCATCCAAAGTTAAGTATAGTATTAAAAATAAATATTGCAGTTCATATCAAAATATTAGTTATAGTCTTAAACTTAATACTGAGATCTCCATTGTACTGTTGTTTTTATTATCTAGGACAGAGTATTTTTGAGAGAGGACATTGTACCCTTGTAGGCAATGCCACTCCTACTGTTAAGTGATTGACTGATTATCTGCCATCAGATCAGTGTTGATTCTTAGTCGTCACATAGATAGTGTCAAGATATGGGCTGCCATAAAGAAGAGGGAATTAAGCTATTTTCCAAAGCACCTGAAGGCAGGACAAGAAGCAACGGGTGGAAACTCATCAAGGAGAGAAGCAACCTAGAACTAAGGAGAAACTTCCTGACAGTGAGAACAATTAATCAGTGGAACAGCTTGCCTCCAGAAGCAGTAAATGCTCCAACACTGGAAGTTTTTAAGAAGAGACTGGACAGCCATTTGTCCGAAATGGTGTAGGGTTTCCTGCCCGAGCAGGGGGTTGGACTAGATGACCTCCAAGGTCCCTTCCAACTTTACTACTATTACTATTACTAAGAGTAAAAATTTAGCAGCTACATGCCTCTCTGTTTTAATCTTGCCATTAGAGTAAGGGCTGGTGGGAGGTGTTGCTTTTGAATGGTTAGAGCAGGGATAGGCAACCTTGGCTCTTTTATGACTCGTGGACTTCAACTCCCAGAATTCCTGAGCCAGCATGGCTGGCTCAGGAATTCTAGGAGTTGAAGTCCACGAGTCATACAAGAGCCAAGGTTGCCTATCCCTGGGTTAGAGAAACAAAACCTCTCCAGTTCTACAGAAGCTTGCTGAGAGCCGGTAGTATGGGAACCTTTCAAGGACATTCTAGCAGGTGAGAAGAAGATAGCAGATGGGTCCCATAACAAAGAGAACTTGTTTACATGATCTATGTGGACGTCTTGGGGGTTTGGCTGGGAAAGTCATTGTTATTTGCTATGGTCTGATGCCTTGGGATTTTAGAGTTACTTTTACCTTGCCTTTTCCAAGCCATGTATTCAATAAACAGTAAACTTTTCAGACATGAAAATAATCCTGGACTTTTATTTGGATATTCAAACTATAGGTTGACAGATAGATCTCCAGGAAGATCTGTTCCCAGCCTGGCCTTTCAGTTCTTCCAATGGTGCACCCTTCACTACTGTGATCAAATCCAGCCACCTTGCTGCTGATTGTCTTTTTCTCCTACTTTTCCCAGCATTATGAACTTCTCTATACTGATATGACTTCACATTATGTGCCCAAAATATGATAATTTAAAGCTCTGCTAAAGAGAAGTTCCCTAAGGAAGGGCTCCAGCAGAAGTCCAAAAGCTTGGAGGACTAAAACCTCTTGTCCCGGATTGGATCTTGCAACATTATCCTGGGACACGTATATTCGCCTTCATTCATGATAATTTAAACTTGGTCATTTTGCCTCAAGTTAGAACTTTGAACTGATTTGTTCTACGATACATTTTTGTTTTTGTTTTTCTTGACTATCTGTGGTATTCTTAATCATCTTCAACATTCTATCAAATTTCAAAATACATGAAAATTCTTTCTGTCCAAAACTTTAACTTCAAAGTTCTTTTTTTTTTTTTTTGCTTTTATGAAGTGTCACCAAAAAGACCATTGCTGAGATAATTCCGATCTTTGTAGGTATACAAACATCCCAGCATCTGAATATCTTTTTCCATGCCCTTCACAAGTATTCTACCAAGTGCTAGTCAGTGACATATTTCTGGATTATTGACTCCTTTATTCTTAACTGTCAGTTCTAAAACTCAGACACTACCTATCACTTCAGTATCATCATTGACAGTTCTAAGGCTAGTTGCTCTACTTTTTGTGACTAGTTTGGTTTTCTTTCTATTTAATTTTAGTTCCATTTTTGAACTGAATTTGGAGGTCTTCCTTTTCTGATTCTTTCTCACTCTCCCACCCCCAGTATTTCTTGCTAGTTAAGAATTGATCAGAGCATTTGGATACTCAACGGGAGCAAACTTTCCCCACCCCTTGATGCAAGCTGTGGGTATGTGGGTGGGCTGGGTGGTACCATTGTGGAGCTGTGTGCTGTGTGTTCCCTGATCTGTCCCTCTCTGTGTCTGTATTGCAGGAGTGGGCGGACGTGTGCTGCCGAGGCCTCCGGAGTGTTCATGCCTACATCTTGGTCTATGACATCTGTTGTTTTGACAGCTTTGAGTATGTCAAAACTATTAGGCAGCAGATCCTAGAAACAAGGTAAAAATATGCCTCTGCTTCATCCCACCCTGGACTTGAGATCAGAGAAGGGAAGGGACCCAGATGCTAATGCCAAGAATTTTAGAAAGCAGCACAAATCCCAAGATAGAGAATGTGCAGTCCTTGTCAACCTCTTTCTGCTTGGAGTAAGTTCAGGGTTGGTAGTTAACAGGATTAGGATATGCATCCTGCAAAAATCAGGAATCCTCATTTAACAAAGTGAAGGAAAGCAAGCCCTCCAGCTGCTGTAAATGATTGTCCACTGCTTTCAAAGAGCTCTTTAGTTTCAGCTTTGGTTGTTGGATGGGCAAGGGGAGGGAAAAGGATTGTAGAACTTGAACATTGGGCACTATCTAACAAAATGAAATTCAATGGTTAAAAAAGTAAGTTTCTATATTTAGGAAAGAAAAACCAAATGTACAGGTATAGTATAGGTGGTACTTAGCTCAATAGTAGTAACTGTGAGAGGGATCTTGGAGTTCTAGTGGACAATCACATAAATATGAGCCAACCGTATGCTGCAACAGCCCAAACACCAACACAGTGCTGGGCTTCTTTAACAGAGGGATAAAATCAAGATTAAAGCGTTAATGCCACTTTACAATGCCTTGGTAAGATCACACCTGAAATACTGTTGAGACTCTAGAAAGCGTGCAATGAAGAGCAACAAAGATGATTAGGGGACTGGAGGCTAAAACATATAAAGAACAGTTGCTGGAATTGGGTATGTCTAGTTTAATAAGAAGAACTAGGGCTGACATGATAGCAGTTTTCCAATATCTAAGGGGCTGCCACAAAGAAGAGGGAGACAAGCTATTCTCCAAAGTACCTGAAGGCAGGACAAGAAGCAATGAATGGAAACTAATCAAGCAGAGAAGCAACTTAGAACTAAGGATAAATTTCCTGACAGTTAGAACAATGAATCAATGGAACAATTTGCCCCCAATAGTTTGAATGGTCCAACATGGAAGTTTTTAAGAAGAGATTGGACAACCATTTGTCTGAAATGGTATAGTGTTTCCTGCCTGAGCAGGAGGTTGGACTACAAGACCTCCCCCCTTTCAACTCTGTTATTGTTATTATTCTGTTATTAACATTTTTCCAGTAGCAGAGCCCTTGCCTTGCTTATAACAAGACCTATTTGATGGGAATGTAAATTGGGGTCAAGTCAATACTTTCTACTCTCCCCAACTGCAGCTATTTTCCTGTGCTGAGGTATATGACTGACTGAACCACATGTCATTCAGCCCACGTAACCTATAGTTCCATGGATGGCCATCCTTTATGGTTTCCTCCCTGCAATGATAATCTCAAAAGAGACTTCATGTTACTTTTCCCAACACATTCCCAGTTATTGACTTTCATGGATAAAGTAGTTGAGGAAAAAAATTACCTTGGCCAATGTTATGAAAACAAAGGTTGGGTGGTTGGGTGGTGATGTTTTGTAGCTGGGTCTTTCAGAGATTTAGGAAGGATTTGGTTGGGATTACAGTTTTCATAATTCCCACAATTTGTGGCCAGAAAGATACCTTGCCCTCCTATTGTTCCTCTTATTCTACCACCTGACGTGGGTTTCCAGATTCTTCACAAGACTTTCTCCTTTCTTTGTTGCCAGAGTCATTGGAACCTCAGATACTCCCATCATCATTGTTGGAAACAAGAGGGACCTCCAGAAAGGCCGGGTCATCCCCCGCTGGAATGTCTCCAACCTGGTGAAGAAGACATGGAAGTGTGGTTACATTGAGTGCTCAGCCAAATACAACTGGCATATCCTCTTGCTCTTCAGTGAACTTCTGAAGAGTGTGGGCTGCGCACGATGTAAGCACGTTCACACTGCCATCCGCTTCCAGGGGGCCCTGCGGAGGAACCGATGCACCATTATGTGAGACCTTAAGGACCTGCTGTCCCCCCCAGATCTCTGAGGGCAGCTTCTCCCCACTCACCTGCCATGTGCATGGGAGCCTTTTTTGGGGGGGGGGGGAATCCGGATTCAGCTGGGGTAGAAGTTCTTAACAAGCAGCTCTGTCCTCAAAGGAAGCCTCAGCCCTTAGCCTCATTGAGGCCAGCTAGTTTTTGATTTCTTTTTTGCTGATCCTTGAAGCAATGGCTGTGTTGAGGAGGTTTGCTTCTTTATATATAGGAATCCTTCTGATCTGGATCATAGACCAGAAGGTGCTGAAATCTACGGATGGAGCAAAAATCCAGAAAGTCAACCTGAAGAAGGGAATACATCTGGTTCACTCTCTTGCAGCCAGATTATTAATCTACCAAATGTGGGATTAGTTAATATTTTGTGAATAATGCAATGCAAATTAAGAGGAACAAATGGTCTCATGATATAGTACTAAACAGCCAGCCCAATGGGGATGAGCAATCTTTGGCCCTCTAGATGTTGCTAAACTGCAATTTAGTAATCTTAACTGGTAAGGCGATAAGAGCATAATGTTGAATGTTCTAATTCAGCAACATCTAGAGGCCCACAAAGCATCTATTCTTATACCAGGTCAGCATTCCTGTAATGCAAGATTACTTACATCCTGGCTCAGATATTTCAGGAGGAAAGAGAAGTATAGAATGAGTGAATAAACGAGTTGAACAAGTGATCCAAGAAAAGGCAGCTTAGATGGGACTGGTAGGGATTAGTAAGGGCAACTGAAATGAAAGGATGTGATCTCTCAAGTCATATATATGTTGAGATTATAGATACCCTTGATGTATTTCACAATACATGTTTATAGAGATAGGGGAAGCATTTCAGTCTGGACATAAAGTAAACTGGGTTTGCCACTACAGGTTCTGATGATGTGAGAACATGAATCCATGAGATATAATTTGCTTATATTTACACAATTTTTTTCAGGCACACACAAACCATCTTTGAACACTTAAAATTCAGAATATACACTGTAGTGTTGCTGAACTACAATTCCCAGATGCCTCACTATTGTCCATGCTGACTGGAGGATGTAGTTCAACTTCCTGCCCTTTTTAGATGTCTATTATTGGCCGTGGTGGCAGAGGCTAATGGGCAATAAGATTCAGCCACGTGGTCACATGGTCACAGGTTTCAACCTTTGTCGTAATAAATGATGCAACCTTGTTACTTTGATTACACTTTATACAACCGTGGTGCACAAGTCCCAAAGGTGCTTTTTCAAAAGGCAACTGGACTTTGTTTTTCCTTGAAGATGTTTCACTTCCCATCCAAGAAGAAGCTGAACTGAAGAAGTTTCTTGAATGAGAAGCGAAACATCTTCAAGGAAAAATAAAGTCCAGTTGCCTTTTGAAAAAGCACCTTTGGGACAACCATGACCTGGATGGCTGAGAATCTCCACAGACATGGTACAGAAGGACTTAGCTAGAAATTAACACTTGAGGGAAGGGCTGCTCATTTGGGGGAGAGGAAGAACTTCTCTCCCTACTCTTAGCTTATTTATTTATTTTGCTTGATGACCATTAACTGTAGAATCCTCCAACTCATTCTTTTTAAATGCCAATGTGTTCATGTTTCCCCTGTCCAGAGCTAAGGAGATTACCCACATATCTTCCAAATAGTAGAAAAACATGAAGTGGAAAAAATCCCAGACATTGGAGCATAGCCAAGAAGGATCTCTCTGCAAACACACACTCTTAGTTGAGGCAGACTTAGGAGAAAATTCCTTATAGAACCACCAGTATGGAAGTGTCATCTTCAGGCTGGCTGTCTTGACTCCTTCAGACTTCATCGGGACATATTCTCTCCTAAGAGAAGATTTCTTATACATGCATGAAAAACAAGCAAGTTGACAAAACGTCCTAGGCAGGCCTCCTCAAGATGCTACTTTCTACATGCATTAAAACACACACCCACAACAGCAAATCATTCCGTCATAACGTGGCACAGTCCTGGCTCACAGGTTTGCCAATATAGGCTTTGACCAATACAGTTTTTTTCCGGCAGATACCTCTTTAAAGAAATCAACTTTAGAATGATCTGTTTGGTCTTCATGCTAATTTATAGATGGTTTGTTTTCTGATAATTACAAATAAAGAGGCTGACTGGTTTTGCCATTGGCTCCCTATTGTTTGCATTCTGATCTAAGGGCACCTTCCTTCAACATTATTTTCTACAATCTCTCTTGAGCAAAACAAAATGTAAACCATTCAGGGGTCCTGCTTCAGTCTCTGGAATACAATAGCTTTCAACAGTAACTTAAAATTTAGGTAGTCCTCGCCATATAACCATTTGTTTAGTGATCGCTCAAACTTACAATGGCATTGATATATGATTGTTTTTCACGCTTACAGCCATTGCAGCATCCCTATGGTCACATGATCAAAATTCGGATACTTGGCAACTGGTTCATATTTATAACAGTTGCAGTTTCCCAGGATCATGTGATCCCCTTTTGCAACCTTCTGACAAACGAAGTCAATGGGGAAGCCAGATTCATTTTAACAGCCATGTTACTAACTTAACAACTGCAGTGATTCGCTTAACAACAATGTCAGGAAAGGTTGTAAAATGAGGCAAAACACATTTAACAACTGCTTCACGTAGCAATGGAAATATTGGGCTCAGTTGTGGTCAGAAGTTGAAGACTACCTGTACTGCATTTTTTATAATAAGTTAAATTTGGAGACCTCGGGCCTGAAGTGGCCAAGGAAAAGGTATTTTTAATCTCCAGGCAGTGACAACTTCCCCTGTTAAATTTTAGCATCAGATTACTTTTTAAAAGTAACTGAGTTTTACCTCAGAGTTGCAACACTCTGGAATGAGAAACAAAACATGCTTTCAGGTGTCTGACTTTGCCTTTCCAAAGACTTCTCACACTCTGATAAAGAGTTTCCTGTTTAAAAAAGAAAAAAAAAAGCTGGGGAGCAATGAAAAAAGAAGGGAAGCTTGCAAACAAAAGCTGTTAAGGTTTGAATTCTCCATATAATTCCAAGAATGAAAATATGCACTTGTTGTGAGACATGGTTCCTAACTAATTCATCTGCTGGATTCACATAGTACATTGAACTGTCCAATAATTAAAAGGGCTGAGTTTGCACAATAATTGAGTTGAAAAATAGCTAAATGAGGTTGAGACTAACCAAGCCTGTTGTATGACTGTGCCTGCTTGGTCTGTAGCTGATCTAGGTAAGGTCATTGTGTGAACACAGCCAATATATTGATTCAGATACACTACAGGCTCCCACCCATCCAGATGTCTTCCAAATACATTGAGATTGCAACTCTTGGATTTGTAGTCACAACTTATCTAGAGATGGCCAGTTTGGGGTAGATGATACAAAACTGAGCAACATTTGGGCACACAGCTGTCCCTGTAAGCATCAGCCACTCAAAAAATTCTCACATTTGCAAGTATTACAGTGTTTGTCAACCTTAACAGTTGAAGATATGTGGACTTCAACTCTCAGAAGTCTTCAGCCAGCAAGCCTTGTGTTCAATTCTTCCTCAATTCAGGTATGAGTGACTAAAACATTCCACAATTGAAACATGAGCTTTTCCCTACAACTCTCTATTTGTCTTTAGATTATCCATGCCTAAGTGTGCAAGGCAGATGTGTAAGTCTGCACCAAGTTTCTTTTTCTGAGATGCCTTATGCCTCTATTCTGGTATATTGATTGAGCTAACTCCTGGATAAATGCCAAACAAAACGGAAGTTCTGCCACTAAATCACAATTTTTGACAGGGTTTCATCATAACAGATATCAATAATGCAGAAATGGAGAAATAAATGGCCAAGGTGATAATGAAACAGTCCCAAACTACCCATGATGGCAATGACTGACGATTTTATGACTTTTTGGAGCAGTCGTTAAATGAACACCATAGTAAAATGTGGTCATGTGACCTGAGGATGCTGCAAATGGCTGTAAATGTGGCTGTATTACTGAGCACCTGAAGGCTGGAATGGAAGCGATCATCAGAATGTTGGATCTGGGTCAGAAGTCTCTTTTTTCAAGTAGGTCCTACCTTTGAATGGTCTCTAAGCAACCAGTTATAAATCGAGAATTACCTGTACCCTGTCCTGCAACAGAAGGGAGTTGCCTCTCTGATGCATCTATTGCTTGAAGCAATGAGCTCATTTTGAGAACCAAGGCTTTTTTTGTCATAGAACGCCCAGAATCGAGTTCCAGCACCTTTTTGGGATGGAACCTTGTAAAGTAGGCAAGGCGGGTTGTATGACATGTGTGAGTTCTGGCACTTTTTTTTTTTTTTACAAAAAAAGCACTGTTGAGAACTACATATGTCTAGCCCACAGGTCAGCAACCTGCGGCTCCGGAGCCGCATGCGGCTCTTTGAGCCTTCCCCTGTGGCTCCCAGCCTCTGCCATTTGCAGAGAGAGACAGAGACAGAGAGAGGCGCTTCCCTGCTTCTCTCTCTCTCTTTCTCTCTCTCTCTCTCTCTCTCTCTCTCTCTCTCTCTCTCTCTCTCTCTCTCTCTCTCTCTCTCTCTCTCTCTCTCTCTCTCTCTCTCTCTGTGGTTTTTTTTTTTGTGTGTGTGTGTATGTGTAAAAGAGAGTGCACTCACAGTGTTCTCCGAGGAGCTGAAAAGCTTATCGGGCGGAGCTCCTCCCTTTGCTGCGCCTCTGCAGGAAGCAGGAAGGGCAGGAGAGAGCTAGCTAGCCCAGCTAGGCTGACTCAGGAATTCTGGGAGTTGAAGTCCATGAGTCATAAAAGAGCCAAGGTTGCCTACTCCTGAGCTTGTTGGAGAACAGCTTGAAGCCAGCTTGCCAGGTGAGAAGCAGATAGGAGAGGGGGGGAGAGAAAGAGAGAGAGAAAGAAAGAGAGTGGGGGAAGAGGAGTGACAGACCAAGGGCAGATACAGAGGGAGGGAGAGAGAGATACACACACACAGAGACCCTTTTGACATCTAAAATGAAGATAACACTGCATATATCCTTTTTTTATCTGTGTGTGTGTGTGTATGTATGTAGGTAGGTAGGTAGGTAGGTAGGTCGGTCTTTGGTTATTCAGGTTTTCTCCCGCGTAAAATTGGAAGTGTCTTGGCGACGTTTTGACGAAGTCCCATTCGTCTTCAGGCTGGTGTTTTCAGCTTCGTGCTCCTCGAAGCACGAAGCTCAAAACACCAGCCTAAAGACGACGAATGGGACTTCATCAAAACGTCGCCAAGATACTTCCAATTTTACGTGGGAGAAAACCCGAATAACCAAAGACCTACATGCAAACACCCGCGAAAACCTCAGAAAACACACACATATATATATACACATGCACCCACACACACACAGACACACACACAGACACACACACAGACACACACACACCTATAATAAAGGTAAAAAGGGATATACGCAGTGTTATCTTCACTTTAGATATTAAAAGGGTTTTGCGGCTCCTGGTGTTTTGTTTTTAGTGGGAAATGGGTCCAATTGGCTCTTTGAGTCTTTTGGGTTGCCTACCCCTGGTCTAGCCTAACAAAGAGAAGCACTGGAGTGACGTGATAGCTGTCTTCCAGCACTTGAGGGGCTGTCACAGAGAGGAGGTCAACTTATTCTCCAAAGCACCTGAGCGCAGAACAAGAAGCAATGGGTGGAACCTTGTTAAAGGGAGATCCTACTGGAAATAAGAAGAAATTTCCTGACAGTGAAAGCAATTAATCAATGGAACATCTTGTCTCCCAAAGTTGTGAATGTTCCATCACTGGATGTTTTCAAGAGAAGATTGGACAACCATTTATCCAGGATGATCTAACCCAGTGATGGTGAACCTTTTAGAGACTGAGTGCCCAAACTGCAACCCAATACCCACTTATTTGTCACCGGGTGCCAGGTGGGCGTGGCCCACCAGGTGGGCGTGGCTGTGGTGGTCATGGCAGATTAGGTGAGTGTGGCCAAGGTGGGCGTGATCACCTCAATGTTGCTCGTGGGGAGGGACGTCTATAGGGGCTGGGCAGGGTTGGGGGAGATCCAGGGAGTCTCTGGGAGGTGGGGCAGGAGGCTCATCCTGCGGGGTGGGGCGAGGCAGGGTGGGGGTGCCATTGTCACAGGGCAAGGTGAGACAGGGGCCAGGGCGGCTGCTGCCTGATACCATCAGCCCCTGCACACAGAGGCCAGTGAGCGCATGGGTGCTGGGATACATCTGGCCATGTGGGACCTCGGTGAGTTAGTGGGCAGCTGATTGAAGAGGGACGGTTGCCATCTCCAGGGCATGGCATGTGTGCCCACAGAGAGGGCTCTGAGTGCCGCCTCTGGCAAGCATGCCATAGGTTCGCCACCACTGATCTAAGCTCTCCTCCCTTGGCAGGGGGTTGGACTAGAAGAGCTCCAAGGTACCATCCACCCTTACGATTCTGTGTTCTATGATTTTACCATATGGTAGGACTAGCCTCAAAATCCTACGTCCTGACTTCTTCAGTTCTCGCTTCACATTTAGAATGGCAGATCCCCACTTCAAGAGTTCATCCTTTGCTGCCTCCAGTGATTCCCTTCTTATCCCCACTATTAAACTTTGCTGCTGCATCCCTTTCTATTGGGAGCAATCACTAAATTATTACTTCTGTGCACACCCCACACAGAGAGGTTGAACTATGCTTTAGGGAGGAGGAAGAGCAGAGGAAAGGAGGCTGGGCAGAAGGAGGATCAATGATGACTCATCAAGGAGAATTACTGGTTTTGAAGTTACCCCTTTGGAGATGCGTTTTGGCAGAGCATAGAGAACACGGCACAGAAATCAGATCAGACTGTGGAAATGACAAACTGGTCGTTGCCTGGAGCAAAAATCTTTAGTCTTGCATGTAAAAAAAACCTACCATTTCTCTTTTGTTGCTTCATGTTTTTGAAACTCTAGAGATGCCATATCAAAGTTAGAGGAGGTAGAAAGTTAGATTCCTGACAGATCTCCGCACAATTTGTAGTAGACAGGAAGTGCTTTGAGCTCCCCATTCTTTTAATACTAGTAATCATTTAAAAAAAAGATTTTTGTCTCCTCCTCGTAAACAGGGTAGCTAAAAGAAGAACTACTGGAAGCAAACTAAGAAAACATTTTGCATAAGTAGATTTGATTTGTGAGTTCATTCTGAATGTGTGGTTTCATTGAAAGCATAGGTTTTCAGCATTATTTGGCAACTGATTGAGGCTGACAGATTTCACACAATAACCTATTGCACTCAGTCAGTCAAAGTCTGTGCAAAACAGTTGCAATCTTTATTTATATGTTGTTGTTGTTGTTTTGCTAATCAGATGGGGGAAATCCAGCCAACTTGGTTAGTTAATGGTTCATGGTATGATACAAACCCAGACAATGGGTTAATTCAATAATTAGTTTACACATGTTGTATGAACTCAGTCTCAGATTACGATGACGTAACTGAAAAGTAAGTAAACAATAGATCCTTATGTTAACATAATGTAAATCAAATCAATTTGAATATATCTTTTGTCTTGATGCTACCCACTGTGTGCCTAAACAAAAAGTGAAGTACCATCGTTTACTCACAGCACAAGTGTCCAATCTTGGCAACTTTAAGACCTCTGGATTTCAACTCTGCTGGCTGAGAAAATCAGGGAGTCCACAAGTCTTAATGTTGCCAAGACTGGACACCCCAGGCTTGGTAGAAAATCCATGGCAAAGCCTGGGTTACCTGTAAACCCAACCAAATGTCTTTTTTTCAATACATTTTGGCTTTAGCATAAACTACCCCTCAATTTCTGTGAGATGTAGGATGCTTTCAGACAATTGTCAAGCTTATCAATGAAATGAGTGGATTACACAAATGTTATCTTTCCCGCTACTTATGCCATCATACTGTCAGGCTTAAAAATTTGTGAACCCTTTTGAATTCTCCACACAGGTAGTCAAACTAGATAAAGAGAACCCAGTTAAACAAATCAGTCAAAAACAGCTTTTTTTTTCCTCACTCCACATAAAAAAGGTAAGAAGGGAAAGAAACATGAATGAATAGCCTGCAGTTTTGCTCACCTAGCCATCCTGTGCCAAAGAGTCAAAAGTGTCATCAGATTTCTCTCTGCTGCTTTGCCCCCTTGCTGTGGGACAGGAAAGGGTGCTAATTAAGCAAGCATTTACCTATAGGCCGCAGTTCCCTCCAATTAGTCACAATCTTTAAGTACCAAAACACCCAACCACCAGCTTCAGAGAGGTCCCAGCTCCTTGCAGATGAGCCAGAAATAAACCAGCTAGCCATTCACTGATGCCAACATCCTGGAAACACAGATCTCTTGAACTGGCTATAAACTGGTATGCAATCCTCAGTTGGCAGCACTACAATGAAAGTCTTTCTGGGCAAGGAGTTACCCAGCTCTTTCACTGGCAATGGGGAGTCACTCTTTCTCCGCCCAACTCATCTCAGAGGATTGCTATTATGGGGACCATAGGAGGAAGGAATATTTATACATTCGCTGCCTTCAGCTGTATATGCAAAAAGAGGCAAGACAAAAATATTTTTAAATAAATTCAAAATCTGCATTTTCTATATGCATGTACCAAAAGGTAGGAAATTTTTCGAAACCAACTTTGTCAAATTCAGTCTCAGAATTATTTCAGATTTAAATAATTTGTTCTTTCTCATGCAAGTTATCTTGGCTTGGGATTCTTGGGGACATGCTACCTCTAAAATACCCAAGAGCCTCAGCTGTTTAAATACAATTGCATCCTCATCTTCCAGCTCCATCTTCAAGTATGCTTTCGATGCTATATTCCACTGGTTCTTCAAACGTAAGATTTTCTAGTGCTGATATCATGACCATTCTCAAAAGCTTTATACTAACTTTGTATAGGCATGGAAAGAAAGCTTCTCAATTAGGAGATTTTAGGATGTGTTAGTGCTGATCATCTGTATGCTTGATAGGCACCTAGAAATAAATACTGTAAGGATGTTTTAAGGACGGGGATATTTTGGAGTGCTTGGGATGCTGAGAATCCAGAAAGAAGAAATCATGAAATATATGCATTCTATTAAATGTCTTGATTATATTTAATATCATGTTAATTACAATCGAATATATATATTCCTGGTTTTACCCTGTTCTTTAGACTGCAACTCCCTTTATACCATGATTAAAAGGTCAAGTAAAGCATTTGGTCCAGCAAAAGTTTATGCTTCAAGCCACCTTTTTTAACTAGATGTGCAACTTCCAGAATTCCAAACCAATGTGTGTGTGTGTGTGTGTGTGTGTGTGTGTGTGTGTGTGTTTTCTCTGAGGTTTTCGCGGGTGTTTGTGTGTTGGTCTTTGGTTATTCGGGTTTTCTCCCACGTCAAATTGGAAGTGTCTTGGCGACATTTCGACGAAGTCCCATTCGTCATCTTCAGGCTGGTGTTTTCGGCTCCATCGCCAAGACACTTCCAATTTGACGTGGGAGAAAACCCGAATAACCAAAGACCTACATATATATATCCTTTTCCAACTTATCTGGAAGACCCACAAGTGCAAAAGTTATTTTAAGTGGGACAATGTAATGTGCTCCAAGAATGACCTTGAGAAAGGGGGAAGAAGACCCACAGTCAAATCAGTGATAAGAGAAATCTGAATCCAAAGCAAAAATGTAATTTGAAAAAAGGAAGGAGAAGCACATTCAGAATTGCAAGATTCTATTACTATAACCCTATAATAAAAGTAGTCTTAGTGTTCATAATGTTGGTGTTCAAACCTGGTCTACCTCAAAGGGCTGATAACTAGGAATGGTCCAGCGGGACAACCAGGAATAGATTTGATAATATGTTGTGGAAAGAGGGACAAAATGGCCCCAAGTGCTGCGAGTCATCATGAATGTGATCAGATCAAACTAGATCAATAGTACTTATTCAGCTGGCAGAAAAGGCAATGATCAACAGACTTAGATTTATCTAGCAGTCTTTTTTTCTTGTGCGTGCAAATATCCACCTATGTGGAACCCTAAGAATATGAAAGAGTTTTACTCCTCATTAGTACAAGTGAAGCATCTGTAATCAAGTTTCAGAAAATGTTCAGGAAGCAAAAAAGAAGTGGAAATGAAGGTATCCTTCCCTGCGATTCAACCTTTCATATAGATCAGAGGTCCCCAACCTTTTGGGCACTAGGACCAGTTATGTGGAGAGAGATTTTTCTGCGTAACGGAGGGGGTATGGTTTTGTGTGCCGCCTGCATCCCCCAGATGGGGTATTCCTTGTTTGTGCGGACCTGTTGCTGGAATGCCGTGGGTAGTACTGGTCCACGGACCTGGGGCTGGGGATCCCTGATATAGATAGCATATAGATCTGCAGGTAGTCCTTGACTAACAACCAGGTGTACAGGTAGTCCTTGACTTATGACCAGTTGTTTAGTGACCATTTGAAGTTACAATGGAGCTACCACCTTTGGGCTACTTAGAACCCAGATTCAAAGTTTTGATGATGAGGCTCCCTCCACAGCCACATGACTAAACTTCAGGCACTTGGGCAACATGGCCACATTGATGGTCATTTGCAGCATGCCACGATCCCATGACCATGTTTTATTACGGTTTTGCTGACAACTGGCACTTACTTCCAACTTTCAGCAAAACTGTGCTCATTGTCACAGTCAAACATCAATACTGGAAATGTTTTATGACATTTCGCATTATGTCATAAATTGTAGTAATAGTAGTAAAGTTGGAAGGGACCTTGGAGGTCATCTAGTCCAACCCCCTGCTCGGGCAGGAAACCCTACGCTATTTCGGACAAATGGCTGTCCAGTCTCTTCTTAAAAACTTCCAGTGTTGGAGCATTTACTGCTTCTGGAGGCAAGCTGTTCCACTGATTAATTGTTCTCACTGTCAGGAAGTTTCTCCTTAGTTCTAGGTTGCTTCTCTCCTTGATTAGTTTCCACCCGTTGATTCTTGTCCTGCCTTCAGGTGCTTTGGAAAATAGCTTAATTCCCTCTTCTTTATGGCAGCCCCTGAGATATTGGAATACTGTATCATGTCCCCCCTTGTCCTTCTCTTCGTTAAACTAGACATACCCAATTCTAGCAACCGTTCCTTATATGTTTTAGCCTCCAGTCCCCTAATCATCTTTGTTGCTCTTCTCTGTACTCTTTATAGAGTCTCAACATCTTTTTTACATAGTGGTGACCAAAACTGGATGCAGTATTCCAAGTGTGGCCTTACCAAGGCATTGAAGAGTGGTATTAATACTTCACGTGATCTTGATTCTATCCCTCTGTTAATGCAGCCTAGCACTGTGTTGGCCTTTTTGGCAGCTGCAGCACACTGCTGGCTCATATTTAAGTGATTGTCTACTGGGACTCCGAGGTCCCTCTCACAGTTACTACTATTGAGCATGGTGCCACCTATGCTGTACTTGTGCATTTGGGTTTTCTTGCCTAAATGTAGAACCTTGCTTTTTTCACCATTGAATTTCATTTTGTTAGTTAGTGCCCAGTGTTCAAGTCTGTTCAGATCCTTCTGTATCTTAAGCCTGTCTTCTGGAGTGTTGGCTATTCCTGCCAGCTTGGTGTCGTCTGCAAATTTGATGAGTTCCCCATCTATCCCTTCATCCAAATCGTTGATGAAGATGTTGAAGAGTACTGGGCCCAGAACAGAGCCCTGGGGCACCCCACTACACACTTCCCTCCATATAGATGCAGTTCCATTGAGGACCACTCGCTGAGTACGTGTATGTGAACCATTGATTTGCTTAATGACAGTAGCATTTTGCTGCAAAAAGGGTCTTAAAATCTCAGTCATTTTACAACCATTAGGACTTAATGAGTGTAATGGGCAGGCTCCATTACAGTCCTAGGTCAAGGGCTACTTATATATCTTTGAAGTGTACCCTTCTCACAGAGATGGAGGTTGCTGGTTGCAAACTCTGGAGAGGGATGGATTTGAGCATATCAAAAGATTACAACTGTATATTCAGGAATAATCACAGCCAAGTTTCTTTGTCATCCAAAGCTCCCATTATCTGTTCCGTCAGAGTCAGTCCCACATGTTCTGTGGAAGACAAGCTGCACTCTGATTTTTTGTTTCTAGTGCTGTCTTGTTTCGCCGTAGTTGGGCCATTCCTAGTCTGACATTTGGCCCTGTGGGTTTTCCCCTGGCCTTGGATGCTGGATGCCTTTCGGGCATATCTGTATGCCAATGGTGTGGGAATCTTTGAAGGCTTCTTCTCAGGCCTGTGGTCTTTGCGTGGACGGATCTTGGGGCGTAGCTTGAGCTTGTAAAAGGATGGCACACGCTCTGGTTTTTTTAGAAATCTCCTTGGTTTACTTTGCACATTCTCTGCAATGATGGAACTTTCTGAAGATTTGGGAGTTTCTTCATTCGGTAATATTTGAGGAGTATCACCATTCTCACTAACTTCTGTCTGTCCTCCATTATTTGCATGGGGTGGCTTGTCCTCCTTTGCTTCAGGCATTGAAGGGGTTTCATGTGGAATTTCTCTTTCCCCAAACCTTACTTTGGCCTGGCTTCCATTCAACAAATACGAATTCATTTGAAAGGAAGAAGAAAGGTCAGTCCCCATGTGCTCCAGATGGAGGGCCATGGAAAGTTCTTGGATTACACTGTCATAATGGAGGCCTGCTGGATGCAACCTTGTGTCTCTGTCTGGCACATATACGCCACTCCGTGGAACGCCTTCACCATAAGTCAAAATCTTCTTGGTTCTCTGCAAAGAGGACAAAGAAGGAATGGATACTTTGAGGAGGTTACAACCTACCATTGTGAAGTTTGTCTCTGGGTCATTGTCCTTTTTAAATTCTTCCAACTGGTTCTGTCCAGGAAGATGGTTGTCATCTGAATCTGCTTCCAACTCCTTGATATTGGACAAAATTTCCTCCTCCAAACTTCTATACAAAGCTTGTTCTTCAGCCAAGTTAATAGGTAGTGGTGTGTAGACACGTTCCTTTTCCACAGAGGGCTCTTTTGTACCTCCAGGGCTCAACTGACAAGAAGTTCTCAGGGTATCTTTTTGGCCCTGCTGTGCCGGACTATCTTTCATTTTTTCTTCTGAGTCCAATTGATGGACTCCAATCCCTAAGTTAGAAGACAATGAATCATAAACTTCCATGCTGGCCATCTTATTTTGTTCCTTTTTAGGACCCATCTTGTTCCTGGGTATTATTTTGCTGTTCAACTGGTGTTGTTCTTTGGCCAAGGCAGGATCAGGATTGCTATTCCTAAACAGTCCTTGATAAACCTCATTCCTTCTAGGAGTTGGAGGCCTGCAGAAAAGTGAGCCAACTTTTTCCGAGGTCCTTAAGCAACTATCCTCTCTTTGAACCTGGCCTGTGTACTTCACTGGGGATGAAGATCGCTGACCTATTGAATCTTTCCTCCAATTATGCACAGGAGTCCCTTTCTGCTGTCCCTGTAAATTTTCCATGGGGACCTTAACAGTCTGTTGGTGGGAGGTTTTAAAGTGCTTATCTGGGCTGGTAGAACATATCTGTGAACAACTGTTCACTGTTCGCTGGACATTTCCTGCTGACTGAAATGCCTCGTTCCTTTGTTTCATTGTTCCCAGTGGTACTGGTTTCTTAATTTCTGTTTTCAGATTCCCTGCCACTGTCTCAATCCTACCAGGTCCTCTTCTAGACCTTGGACCAGAGAAATATTTCAAATCATATGAGTTGTTCTCCATGCTCCCATTTTGCTGAGAAGACAATGAGACATAGAATGTCTCTCTCCCACTCAGAGTAGAAACCGACTGTTTGGATCCAAGCCTCTCTCCTGCACCTGGAAGTCTCTGGGATGGAGTTGCTGGTCGCTCCCCTGCCCTGGAAAAAGAAAAGGTCAACAGCTATGAAACTGGGAATAAGTATTGCATGTGTGTACTGATATTACATACACCATGTTGATGGGAGCAGGAGAGCCAGGCCTCATTGAGTTATGTTTTCAGTAGCTAGGAATGTCTTTGATTAATGTTTCTAGTTCTTTGAAGTAACAGAACTTTCTCCATGTGGAATGTGGATTCTGATAAAAATACTGATTTGTAGGAGATGAGCAGGCTGAACCCAAGGTCAGGGTCAAAGGCATCATCAGTTTATAATCGCTACCCTCCTACAAGAGATCCAAGTCCAGCCCCCTGTGAATTCTGTTGACCCTTATCTAGCGCCAATTTGGCTTGGCCGCTAGTAGATCAGATTCTTGTCTATAGGGTGCATGTAATAAACTTTCAGTGCTTTGAACTGAACTCCTGGTTACATGCACTTGACACAGTTCAAACCGGCCAGAGACAAAGTTTTCACAAGGAGTGCCCTGCTTTTTGTGCACACTGCAGCAGAACACTGGTCTATCAAATCAGTGATGCCAATTGTGTACCCTAAAAAAAGGTTTTGATTACAGTTTTCATCATTCTTTGACAATATGAGACTTTTAGTCCATCAGGAAAGGCTGATATAATTTAACATTTCAGCTGGCAGCAGTACTTCAGATCTTATGCAGAAGACTTCTCCATTACCTGCTGCTGAGATTTCATTCTTCATATCTGCAACTTTTCTAATATAAAAACCTACTTCCCTAAACAGTGGAAGCTCCTTTCTCTGCAAGATGATTTTTTCAGGAGGATTAAAAGAGTAAAGTTATTACAAAAAATCATGATGATTGAGACAGAAAGTCTATTATATAGCCAAACGTTTGGATGCATCAAGGCTAACCTATCATAGAGTTATGGTGAAAATAAAGAAAAAGTGTCTTGTCAACTATCCCATTACTCCAGTCATTTCAAGTCCCAAATTTTAGAAATTTTGCTCAGAATTTTTAAAAAAACATTATGTGGCTATCTTCTGTTACCTTTTTTTTTTTATTGAAAATTTTTAAGTTTTACAAAAAAATTCCCTTCCCCAAACCCTCCCAACCCTCCCCCAACCTTCCCAGAGCTGAATACAGGCTTAATTAAAAAAAAATTAAAAAAATCTTAAGACACATATAAACCATAAGCAAATCTAAATACATTAATTAAACAAATTATAAAATAGTTAGCAACAATATATAAAAAAAATACAAGAAGAAAGAAAAAAAGAAACAGAAAAAAAAATCAAGTAAAAAAATAAAATAAAAAAAATAAAAAAATGTCTATGAAATATCTTAAATTTTAAATATAAATTATTCAAAAACTAAATAATATTTTTTTATATCCAATTTATATTGTATAAAATCTATCCATTTTTTCCATACGAGGAGGTACTTCTCTTGCGGTTGATCTTTCAAGAAAGCCGAAATCTTTGCCATTTCCGCCAAATAAGAAACTTTAAAAAACCACTCTTGCAAAGTAGGCAAAGATTCCTTCTTCCAACATTGCCCTACTAACAACCTGGCCGCTGTAATTAAATTTAACATCAATATAGTCTCTTTACTATCACAATCAGAAACAATACCTAACAAAAGCAATTGTGGGGTAAATTTTATCCTTCTTCTAAAAATTCTTTGAATATTCCACCATATCTTAATCCAAAAAGCTTTTATATTTTTACATGACCACCAGATATGATAATAAGTAGCATCCAAACATCCACATCTCCAACATTTATATAGCCAAACGTTTGGATGCATCAAGGCTAACCTATCATAGAGTTATGGTGAAAATAAAGAAAAAGTGTCTTGTCAACTATCCCATTACTCCAGTCATTTCAAGTCCCAAATTTTAGAAATTTTGCTCAGAATTTTTAAAAAAACATTATGTGGCTATCTTCTGTTACCTTATTGAAGGGGCTTTCCTGGGCTCTGAATGATCCTGGGACATCTGTTGGCCTTCGTTTTTCTTGCTGCGACTGCTGCCACCATTATCTGAGGATGCTTGAGCCTTCTTCCACCCAGAACCTAAACCGTGGGGCAGATAAGACCTCCACTCCACTGGGGGCAGTGGACTTTGGCATCTGCTCACAATTAAGGCAGGCTGGGGCTTATTACAGCTGTCTTTCCTGGGTGTTAAACGGGCTGTGATCTCATGCTGAACCTGGGTAGCCTGCATCTTCTGAGGACTGGCCTTCTTCAAGATCTGCTTGTGAGCTGCAGAAAAAGCAGTAACAACAAAGTGTTGTAGCATATAAAAGCCTGGAGCCCTCTAGAACTTTGGGCACTACAATTTCTGGGATTCTAGGGTCTTGTGTCAGATCAAGGGATTAATTAATCCAAATATCTATTCTCTGCTGTTGCCAGTTTCCAGGAACCTGGTGGCACATAATCCCATTTTAATTCTACAAAGATTCTATTATCAAAACAATGGGTAGGAAACATGACTAGTGGTGACCATTCTTGATTTCAATGCAAGATTTTTTGTTGAAGAATGGAGGCGATTCAGGCTGGAAAGCAAGAGAGAAGCCATTTGAATTCTTGCTCTGGTTGCATTTTAACCCATTGAATCAATGTGTTGGATAACAAGGCTTATACTGATTTAGACAATGGATTTGTACAGATTAAGCATTGTGCAAATGTAGCCTGTACATGTTTTGAAAGGAAGCTATTTAAAGTAAAAGGGATCAGGATGGAAATTTTAAGAGATTTGCAATGCAGCACTGCTGGGTGGGAGGGGATAGGGGTCTAAGGTAGCTCATTTTGTGGGCTGCCACAAAGAAGAGGGAGTCAAGCTATTTTCCAAAGCGCCTGAAGGCAGGACAAGAAGCAACAGATGGAAACTAATCAAGGAGAGAAGCAACCTAGAACTAAGGAGAAACTTCCTGACAGTTAGAACAATTCACCAGTGGAACAACCTGCCTCCAGAAGAGGTGAATGCTCCAACACTGAAAGTTTTTAAGAGACTGGACAGCCATTTGTCTGAAATGGTATAGGGTTTCCTGCCTGAGCAGAGGGTTGGACTAAATGACCTCCAAGGTCCCTTCCAACTTTATTATTATTGTTATTGTTGTTATTGTTATTATTGTTATTTGTATTCAAAGTACAAATCAGATCCGGACTGTGAGAATCTGGGTAACCACTAGATAGCAAAAGGGTTTTCTGTATCTCTGCTGCCATCTAGTGGTTATGACATTATCTGCAGTACAAATACTGTACTGTACTGTAACCTAATTCAAATAATCATTGAATTAAAGAGCTGAGGATTATTGTTACACAGGTATACAGGTATAAGAGTAAGATATTATTTTGTTATATAATTCTAATGTTATTTTAATTGTTAATTGGTATTTTATATGATATTTCTGTGTTTTTGTTTTAACTTAGAGTGAGGTTACTTTATTATATATTTGCATCAGTACTGAACAACATAGGAGGCTATTTTTTTATTATCACTTTTTAACCTTCCCATCTTTTTAACTCTCCCCCATTCTGTTTTTCTGATATTTTGCATTTTATCTTTCTTTGACACTTAATAAACTTGATTTTTTAAAAAAGCTGAACATTCACCCACTTTAGTTTCATTCCAAAGAATCGCTTTTATTTTTAATCCTGTTCATTCTTCTCCTAATTTCCCTTTTTATTCCTTTCCAAAACATGTTTTTTTTTTCAAAAAAAATTCATAAAAAGTACTCTTTTAATCTTATTTAATCCATTTCTTGCTCTCTTTGAATACATTCTTTGGAATTATATTTTTCTCTAGATACATTATATCTTTCTCTCATCTTCACTGTCTGCAGAATCCATTCTCTTATAAGCCCTCAGCTTATAACCACAACTGCAACCAGAATTTCCATTGCAAAGTAAAATATGTTAAATGAGTTGCACCCAATTTTTTTTTTGCCACAGTTATTAAGCAAATCATTGCAAATGTTTCTGTTAAGTGCATCGTGAGGTCATTAAGCAGATCCAACTTCCCCCATTGACTTCGCTTGTCAGAAGCTGTCTGGAAAGGTCGCAAATTGTGATCATGTGACCCTGGGATGGTACCATTGTTGTAAATAGATGCCACTTGCCAAGTGCCCAAGTTTTGATCACATGACTGTTGGGGATGTTGTAATGGTTGTAAGTGTAAGGACTAGTCATAAGTCATTTTTTCAGTGCCATTGTAACTTTGAATAGCTGCTAAATAAATGGCTGTAAATTGAGGATTATCTGTATGTATTTTTTTCTCATCTGCACCTTTCTTCACTTCATCATTCCAGTTCCACCAAGCATCTTTTTCCATACAATTAACTATTCATGTTTCAATTATTTTCACTCGGTTCAAAACAGCTTCTGCTTTCTTTTTCTATACATTCCGTTTCCATTCATTCTCCTGGGAAGTTAATCTATCTTCTAATACTGTACATTCTCATAGTTTCATACTTCCAGCAGACCTTCTAATTTCATTCAAGTGTCTTTGAACTGTTTTTCTTTTCTTCCATAATCATTTTTTTCTTGAGATTCAATTTTTACACCAATCAAATAATGGACACTCTAATTCAAAATTTCTCATGACTTTATATCCTTCACCGATTCTCTTAACCTTTACTAAGAGACTTTGCTTCAATCCCCAATTTGAAAGCCCCTGTTTCTAAGCAGGCATTCACCAGTCACGATTCTCATTCATTCTTGGGTCTTCCAAAGGCCCAATCAATTTTTCTATACTATTTTCTCCCATGTCAACTAATAGATTGTTTTTCCCCTTGGGATTGCATTACATGCATTCAGAATGTTGGACAGCTTTTCTCCAGACTCATCACAATATTAATTTAAAAATTCCTATTTTCATGCAATTGCACAGCAATCTAAATGATCACGATCGTATGCTTTCTGACATATAACTTAGCCTTTTCTTTCTCAATAAATCTCATTTTCAGTCACTGCCTATATTCAACTCCATGAGATCATACATTGTCCAGAATGGCTTCTAATTTCATAGAGCCACAACACACCTTGCCATTCTTTCATTTCATTCAGGCTTTTTACCATTTATTCCTTTTACATTCCAAATTACGTTGTATGTCAAAAATCAGATGGGCCCTTAGATATCGATCTCCGGAGCTCACCATGATGTTGGTCAATTGAGGTTTCCCCATCAGGCTTTTAGTATAATTGAAAAGGCATGAACTAGGTCACCAGCCTTAACTATGTCTGTGCCACATGCCGCATTCCCTGCTAATGTTAAGGAAATCACTGGTCAGTTTGGCCATATTTAGCAGCCTCAACTTACAGCTGGTAGCTTAGCAACCATTTCAATTTCCAGCAATCTTACTTGGGGGGTTCTTATGACCCAGATTCCAAGTTCCAACTGTTAGGGCCCCTTGCAGTCACATGAGTGTACTTCAGGCACCCAGCAACTAGGCCCATGTATGGCCATTCGTGGCATCCTGTGGTTATGTGGTTGTATTTTATGAAGTTCTGCTGAAAGCCAACACTCCAGTTTTTGGCAAAACGGTGCCCATAGCAAACCATTGGTTCCTTTAACAACTGTGGAGTTCACTTAACGACCATAGATTTACCTCAAAAAATTCATAAAATTGAATCAGTCAAGTTTTATAATTGCCAGGAATTACAGCCATAATGGACAGGCTCCATTACAGCAGTAACTCAAGGACTATCTATATGCCACAACTGCAACCAAGCAGGCTCACATTATTCTATGCAAGTAGGCTCTCTAAATCCAGAGATTGTTTTGCCCCACACCAATTAGGAGATATATGCAGTACATGGATGCACCTTTAAAATAGAGAAATGTCGTAAGAGGAGGCATCCTATCTTGTTAGCAGAGCAGAGATACTTGTGCATTTTTGGCTCAAAAAAATGACTCAGATATGATTGATTGATGCCATTCTTGGAGTCTAAACTTAGAAACTTTACACTTGAGGAATAGAAATGGACTCACAGAGTGAAGTACACCGGCATGGGTCATGCTTATCCAGATAGTGTTCCAGGGTGTCCCAGCCACCACCTACTCGGACCATTACATGATTCCGCAGGATCTAGACCAATCAAAAACACATGTGAGCAAAAATCACCCTTCCATGATATCAGACGCCATCTTAGCCATCCTCAGCTTTTTTGAAGAGTGCGCAGCCACCTATTTTGTTCTTTAAAACAAAGACTCATGGTCTTGGATTGGGACTTGCCTTTGCACATTCTCCCTGGAAGCCCTGATTTTCTGCTTTCCATTATCCAGCTAATCAACTAAGCAAACAGCTGAATCCTTTCGTTAATAACAAGAATCAATTGATTTAACAGGATTACTAGAGGGAGTGGGAATAGACTTGAACCCCAGCCCCCTCCCCAATGAATTAATTGAAAGGATAGGTTGACATCACAATCCCTTGGTGGAAGTTCTGCCTCCATGGTTGGGAAAGGAGCTTCCATATTTGAGCTGCAAACATCCAGGTGATCATTAGATGGCATAGTGGGTTAGAAATTTCAAATCATCTTTGCTGCCATTTAACTGCACATACTAATCCATGGTAGAATGTAGCATTGAGCAGATCCAAAGTAGCATGCTCAGAGACTTGTGTGCAAGTGTATATCCTATCCAGTCACATTCTTTGAATCCACAGTAGGATAATTTTCAAAGAACTTCAAATGTGGGAACTATGCTATATATGTCAGCTGCACCACATACTACTAAAACTCTTGTGTCTGTAACTTTTAACAGGGAGAAATGGTGCGCTCTAGGGCAAAAGTTTTTCAACCAAGATATCTCAAATGGGCTAACTTATAGAATGCACCCAAAATCTGGGACCCATGGCTCCTGTTGAATTGAAATTTGGCAAATTTTATAAAACATTTTATGACATAAAAATATCATAAAGCATTTTATGACATATTGGAAAAATGTCTTAAAACATTTCCTGTGATCAACGCCTGATGTTTGACTGTGCTATACAGGTAGTCCTCAACTTACAACAGTTCATTTAGCAACTATTTGAAGTTACAACAGCCTCAGAAAAAAATGATTTATAAGCTGTATTTATACTTATGTGATGGTGGTCACATGATCACAATTCTGGGACTTGGCAACTGGCTTGCATTTATGATTGACTGCAGTCAAATGATTGCAATTTGCACCTTTTTTGTCAATTTCTGGCAAAAAAAAAAAAAACTCTGTTGGGGAAAGTAGATTTGCTTAAAGACGACATGAGTGATTTAATGACCATGATGATTTGTTTAACAACCACTGCAAAAATTGAGTGCAACTCAATGTATGACTGCAACAACCTAGGACTAGAAATTCCAGCTCCAATTTTGGTCATAAGACAAGGACAGCCTGTACAGTTCAACATTGCAAGGCAGATATATCTCTGGATGTCACCCTCATTTTAAATAATTTTTCAAGTACATTAGAAACTCTGACTTTTGAAGGCTCTGAGAAATCTGGTAAAGAAATATCTTTGAAATGATGAGCCAAGGGGTCAATGGTTGTCTAGTGTGGCTTTAAAAGTGGGATAAATTCATCTACTTGCTACATTTGTAATAAAACTCTCAGGCTCAGAAGTAAATTTATCTCTGAATACCAGTAACCAAAGGAAGATTTTCTTGATCCTGCCCTGTTTCCTAAAGATGTTTAATTGAGTGCTATGAAAACACGATGCTGAGCTAGTTGATCCTTTGAACTCTGCCAATATGACTGGAACTCTTTTATGTGGAAATGTGATTTATACATGATGTCAAACTTGAAGTGTGCATGTGAGGTTGCCATCATTATCACTTCTCAGCTTGCCAATACACTGGGGGGGGGGGGAGAGAGAAGGGAATGGAATGCAAGTTCCCAATAAGAAGTCAGCCCATGTGAACCAAGGACGTTTCAGCAGGTGTTTGCAAACCCACAAAGACACTTTCTCATAACAATAATTTGGCACTCGATCGGACCACGTGATCTGCACTAATAGGGGGAGGGAGAAATCTATATTTTAATTATAGTGGTTTGTGCGGGAATTAACCACAGCTGTTTTTGCTTCATTTGTGCCGAAATGAGGTACTCAATAAAGTTTTGCATTAAGAGACCGGATTGCCTCTATGGTGCTTGCTTGCTTGCTTGGGTTCGTTAGTTGGAAGCATGACACATGAATTAATACATTTACTAACTTATTAAGAGTAGTACAGTTGAACTTCTAAAACATAATTACCTTTCAAGACTACTTTTTTGTTCAGTGATGCTGCAAAGAATAAGGGTGAGAGGAACACACTATATAATAGAAGTAGAGGGGGGAAAGATAGTTGTAATGAATGAAGCCAACAGTTAAGAGATAGAGGAAATGCAGAAGGATTGTTATGGAAATAAAAAAAAAATCTGCTTTAGAAGTGGATGAAGAGGGCTAAATAAGGAGATTCCAGCTGAATGAGTGAAAGCAGAGGGCCCCTTTGGAAAAAGGTAGAAAGGGTGAATGTAAAAACAACAGAATAATGGTTTGTTAAGCATGCTGGGAAAGTGCTTGGTATAATTCTGCTGGACAGGTTATGAGAGGTGACAATACGGAAAATTTAGGAAGAGGAGTGGGGTTTTATCCTGCTGTGAGGTTGTGCAGCCCACATTTTTGCTTTGCAGTAAAAAAAGACTGCTGAGTGCATTAAGATGGTGTATGGGAAAAGGAAAACATTTGTGAGAATAAAAGCATGAATGGAGAGATACAGTAGATTTAGCAATATTTCATTTTCTTATTTTGTGCCTTTCATTTCCTTGGCTTATGGTACTAATTTTTATTCTCTTTCGATGATCTACATAATCATTGCATGCTTTGAAAAGAAATCATATGTTCGATGCGGATGTGTATGAGAGCAAGTGAGTCAGGGCTGTCCTCAGACCTTGGTCAAAAAAGTCAAGAGGGCAATTGTGATTGAAGCTGCACCTTTTAAAATGTATCTCGTAGATGGAAGGCAAAGGTTTGACCATCAGTGTCACCATCTTGAATATCTATAGAGATTCTCAGTAATCCAGGTCATGATTGTCACAAAGGCGCTTTTTCCAAAAGGCAATTGGATTTTCTTTGTTTTTTTCCTTGAAGACATTTTGCTTTTCATCCAAGAAGCTTCTTTAATTCTGACTGAAGGATGGGAGGATTTATGTTCCTGTAGTCATCTGATTATTAGCACTCTCTCTGAGAGTCATTGAGGCCACTTGGGGATTTATTGGTGCCTTCAGGATCACCTGAATCAGAGTGCAAATGAGTGTGGAATGTTCTTGGAATAGATGAAAGTTCCATTCAGTCAGAATTGAAGAAACTTCTTGGATGAGAAACGAAACACCTGCAAGGAAAAACAAAGAGAGTCCAGCTGCCTTTTGAAAAAGCATCTTGGTCACCATCCTGACTTTTTTTGACCTTACCCTGTGAACACCCCTATATTGAAGGATACGTTTAGGTTGCTTTCATTTTGTATATGCAAGTGTTTTTTTCTCAGCACAATGGACAGGCCGGACTCTCAGGAGTTGTTTGTTCATTAAAGGAGGTTGCTATTGGCAGATCTTTACTCCGAGGAGCTCAACAAGTGAAGTTCCGTAGAATTCTTGCTTCCTGAAAGGTAATGTTTAAGCTTGGCTCACCCTAACAAAGATGAGAGTGTTGGAATCACCGATGCGATACTTTCCCTCTGAGACTTTGACCATGGAGAACTGAACTGGACAGGTGCATCGGCTAACAAGGTGCTGGACCTTCAAGGAAAACCAAAGAAAAAAATCATAAAGATCTTAGTAATGAAAGGCATCAAGTAAACTTGCCTTGAAGCTGAAAACCCCCACCAGAAGTATAATTTTAAAGAAAAAAGGACTTTTTGTGATGTTTAGATAATTATCCACTGAGCTCTGTTACTCAGTTAAATCAACTGATGAATGTACAGGTAGTCCTCATTTAGCAATCACAGTTGGGACCAGCAACTCAATTGTTAAGTGGAACATTATGATTTTAGGATCTTTTCTTTGCTTTAAAGATCTGCAAGGGTGATCCAAGGACTGGTTGCAAAATTTATTTTTTCATTACTGTCAAAAATGGTGAACGGTTGCTAAATGAGTCAGGGACTAAATGAAGACTACCTGTATATAGTCTTCTTACTTGGCACACAGCTCAGGGCAATACACATCATGAATAACAATAAGAATCAATAAAACTATGTTATTAAACTAAATATAAAAAACATCCGCAAATGCCTAAGTGCTGGGAGTAAAAAACCTCATCTAGCAGCTTGTGCTCATTCAGATGTAATGCCAGAAGGAAAAAATGGGTCCTTAATGCATCTCAAAAGCAGAGTGGGAGACAAGCAGAGTTAAGAGTCACTTATTTGAAATGGCTAGTATAGAAATGTGACGAATGAATGAATGAATGAATGAATCTGAATCCAAATGCTATCAGACAACATCACCTAAGCATGTAAGCATGCGGGAGCTTTCTGGATGGGAAGTTACTTCTGGAGATGGACAGTTCTCAACTTATGACTGTTGTGACATACAGTAGAAATCCCAGGCTTTATTGTGGTCATAAGTTGACGTCTATCTATACAAATACAGCCTTGGTGTCGTTAGATTGCCAAAGTTTAACTGAGAAAGGGCAATTATGTCTGTATTATTGAAACCAAAATAAGTCAAATGTGTTGCAGAATATTTAAAATAATCGAGCAAATAATATAATGGATTTGCATGGAAACTTTCACAGTTGATCCAAATATTTTAACTGATTAATAATAATTTATTACAATTATATGCCAACTGATTTCCAGTAATTCTTTGTGGTCTCTCATTCACCAGCCAATCAGGTCTGTCTCTGCATAAGGAATAGCCAAGGCCATCTAGATGCTCTCTCCTGTTGCATGGCCTTTTAAATAGGGAGCTTGTCACTAGCCCTCATTTGAAAATATCAGATGGATCCATGCCTTCTATGGGAGGCAGTAAAAGAATCAGAATAACTAAGAGTTATTACTAGACACCTCCACAAATTCCAGTTTCGTAGATTGAGGATGAGAGATTTAAAAACTATGAATCAAAAGGATACTGACACTGGAGCCAGTATGGGGAAAGTCTTTAGTGGAACTAATAAACCTTCTGTTCCTGATCTTCTGGAGTTAGCCTTAAGTTTAAACATCCTGACTTTTCACATGTAATTCGTGTCTAGCCATTCTTAAAGACTCTCGTACCATCTGGTCCAGTTTCTTGAAGTTAGGAGGTTCTCTCTTGGGCCGGGGAAGAAGTGTTTCATCCGGTGGCAGGTTCATGTCCTCACGCATCTCATCCTCAATGTCTTCCTCCATTTGGATGAGGATAGGAGCGCTCATGCCAAAACGAGAAGCCCGCCGGGCTACCTCCAGAAGACACAAGACAAAGTTCTTCTCGTTCTTGCGCAAGACCAGGTCCTCCGTCTCAAACATCAGGACATCTAAAAGACAACAGAGAGGCTGAACGCAGTGAGGAGAAGAAAGAGGGAGAATCGCTACAAGAGTCAGAGAAAAGATGGAAACCCAGGAAGAGTTGAGTAAGAAACAAAATGACTAACTGGATTTGCTTTGGTTGCAGTGCCTCGGGATCACGTGATCAACATCTGCGACCTTTCCAGCCAACTTACAGCAACCAAAGTCAATGGGGAAAACTGGATTTGCTTAATGACTACAATCTTACGATTTGCTTAACCACAGCAGTGATTTCCTTAACAACCATGGCAAAATAAGATTGTAAAATAAAGCACAACTCACTTAACACAGCCTTGCTTAGCAATGGAAATCCTGGTCCTGTTGGTGGTCATAAGTCAAGGACTACCTGTATGTTACTGTCCCAAACATCATTTCTACAATCCAATCCCAATGTACTGATTCTTAGAATTATGTATTTATTTATTGTGTATCATATTATAATTATTTGGTTTCACTGAATTGGAGCAAAATACTAATTGTCTAAGTGTATTGTAAAAAAAGCATGGGATGTACTCAAAAGAATGCTCAGGGAGGCATGCCCAGAACTAAAAATAATGTCTTAATAACTTAAATGGTCTGCCTGCAAGCCATTCTTCTACTGAAGAAGAATGTGGCTCCTTGCCATTCTTCTGAATTAAATATTAACAAAATCCACATCATGGCTGCCATCTAACAGGCTGGGGAATGCAGGTGATGCTCTGCATATGGAGCCCCCTTTTTAAAAACAAAACAAAACCTGACACTAATGGCAAGCAGATAAAACAGGCGCTTCTGGAGCTGAACCAAAGAGAAGGTCATACATGATCTGCCCACTTGGAATGCTGTGTTCTGGGTGCTAATGGAGCTTTTCCCCTTCAGCTATTTATCTATATTGATTGGATAATAGCTGCCGTTATCATTTGCAGCCAGCATGTTTTTCCCACTTTTGTGAATCATAGATGTTGCTGCCCAGATCATCTGATGGATACAAAACCCAAGGAGATTATGTATGCATTTATTTATTTATTTATTTGATGTTTTTAAATTGTTTTGCTTTTTTTAAAATTGATTTAACTGCTTTATAGTTTTTTGGGTTGTAAGCTGATCACAGTCTGGTTGAAATAGGTAGCTTTAGAAATTGAATAAATAGATAGATATTTAGATAGATGATAGATAGATAGATAGATAGATAGATAGATAGATAGATAGATAGATAGATAGATAGATGATTGACAGATGATAGACAGATAGATAGATAGACAAACAGACAGACAGATAAATGCTTATGATTCTAGTTGAGATTTATTTGCCTCCTTTGATGGCCAAGAGGTTTTTGACAACACAACAAGTTTTTCTCATGGTAGTTTTCAACCATTTAGTATTATTCACAGATTCTGAATTTGGGGGCTCCACATAACCATGATTGCTACAGCTTTGGCTCCTGTATTGTCCTTCATGAATTGTTCTAAGTGCCGGACAAAGCAGTCCAGCAGAAGAGTGAGCCAATGGAAATGGTGGAAGAGTCAAAGCATCTCCAAATGCATGCCAAACAATGAGAAAATGAGAGAACAATTGCAAAAAAGGTAAGTTGCCTTCCTATTCAGATATATATAATGGAAAGTGAAGATCTCTGGATTCAGCCTTTACATCTTAGAATGCTCCTTTTTTTCTCATTAGTCTTCCTAATGGGAAATGTATGGGACAGAAATAAGAAAGAACAGAGCTTCAGTCACTGGTGGCCAACATCTTGACCTTTTTGACCCTTGTTTCCCCATCGGGATTGAAACTCACTCAATTGTCCACCTGTTTGGTATGAAAAACATTAAAAAATGACTTTTAAAAAAAAACCAAATTAAAACCGCAGTATAGAGTATCTAAGCAACAAAAGAAATCAGCAGTTTCACACCAAAACAATACACATTAAAAATATCTTATTAAAATGAGGGAACAAGATACCAAACATTTCACCCCCCTCTATTTTGTCAGGGGAAAATGCAACAGAGGAAGCAGAGACAGGTGAAACACAATACAAATAAACATTCCACACAATTTAAAAATTGCTCACTTTAAAATTTAGTTGTTCAGGTCTTCTCGTTTCTACCTGCGCTTAAACTATGTGTTAACTGATTTTCTAAATCTCCATTCTTGAAGATTTACATTATATCCCCAATTTAAGGAGAGTTAATTTCTGGTTAAAAGCATCTACAGCTGTCATCCTGAGTTGCAAACACTGCTCTTTCTGATGGAACAAATAATTTAATAGTAAACCGACAATGGAAGTGGATCATGGGGGTGAAAGGCCAAAGAAGGGAATTAGACTGTAAGGATATTATTTCTCTTTTCATTAATTTGAGTATGAGTGTAACCAAATTTCCAGAAGAAATCTGAGGACAGAGGAACACTAGGACAGAGGAATTCAGTCATCTTCTGCTTTTTTTTTCTTACAGAGTTCATGAGTGTATACTGTGTGTACAGTATAGTCTTTTAAAGTATCATGCAAAGCACTGTTCTAAATAAGTTTACTTTGGATTTTAGAAAGATATGGTTAACAATTGAACAGATGATCCACAAATCGATAGAAAAAACAAAACACAAGGAATGAAAAAGGAAAGTTAAGAAAGGAAAGCAAAAGAGTATTCACATTTTAATCATTCAAACAATTCGCTTTTAGCAATTTTTTTCTTACAGCATTGCACAGTATATCGATTCAAATCTGTGTACCTTTAATATCCATCTCTTTTCGGCACCACTGAATAAAGTTGGACACATTGTCTCGAGCTTGGAACGTGCCTGGCTGAGCAAAATCATTACAGGTTACACCATATATGGGAAGTTGGAGTTTTTTGCCCAAACTTGGATATTCCTGGCTGAGGTCTCTGGCCACCTGGGTGATGTTGTTAGCGTGATGACAAAGAAGGACACCTGTTTCCAGGACATCCAGAAAAGATCTCACATCAATGTCGACATCATAGAGTTCCTTAAGCCATTCTGCCAGGTCCTCCTTCATGGCATACAAGTATTGTTCGCTTGTTTTGTAGGGGCGGATGCTTCGCACGCTGGCATCCTGAATCCCAGACATTTTCCTGGCAGAATCCCTGATGGAGCTTTGCCTGTAATCCGCTGAGCTGTTTTTAGAGTTTTAGCTGTTTTCTTCTTGTTCAACCCATCATTAGAAATATGTCCAACCACTTATAGCATTAAGAACCCACCTCACTGATCTTTTTAAAGACAAGGTTTACATACCCATCTCCCACTCCCATGGGATTTCACAGAGTCAGGAAAGACCCAGGTAGATGGATTCTTATGCTCTTCTGAGAGATTTTCTCAAAATGATCTCTATCTCAGCATTTTGGTGTCTTCATGCTATCAGCTACTTTAGAAGGAGGATACATGCTTGAACCCTTGCTTTCCTCTTAAACCAGAAGTCTCAGCTATTCTTCTATTTTAAAAACATAAGGGGTTTTTCAGAATTTTGGAAGCAGGATTCAGAAAAAGAAGACTCTCCTAGCATGCTCTGATCAGTGTTTTGCTGTGTTTCCACTTTGAAGTTCTCTTTTCTTCTCCTTGGTGACAGCAGCTCTCTACAAAACACTCCCTGTTAACCCTGATAGATCAAATGTCGCTTTGCTTCAGCTGGAACAAACATTCTCTATGAATGTGGGGAGGAGGGGGAACCTGACGCTTGGAAACATAGTAAAAGGAGTTATCAGTTGATTGGTATTTTTGCTTTCTGACTGATTCATAAGGGACAGGCACACATTTACACCTCAACTGACCCAGCATTATTGTGTTTGCGAAAAATATTACAGGTGACATCTATTGTTTTCTTCTTGACATTTTCCAAACAATGGTATACTTGGAAGAGTGGCAAACATCTAAAACCTGCTCGGTTTCCAACATACATCTCATTTGTAGGAAAGGAATGGGAAAAGTTTTGTATCCAAATGAATGCCAGCAAGCCAGAGCAAAAGAGTCAGGAAAATTATGGATGAGATTCGATGTAGCATGCAATGAACTGCAGAGGGAGGCAAAAAAAAAGAACTGGGCGTTCTTTTTGCCATTTTTGCCAGGCTCCCACAATTAGCTATGTAAGTGGGGGGGGGTGCTACATGTGGCTTGTGGAATGTCTCTTGCAATAGATATGTTGAATGATGAGTAATTAATTAAATTTTTATGCTCTCCCATAAAATGGAAATACATAGTTTGAGGATGCTTTCACTTCTGAAATTGAGCACCTTTTCTCAACTATATTTGTTGTGTTGACCATGCCCCTTCCTTGAATAAAATGGCTTTAAAAACAGAATGCTGTATGTGACAATAACTCACACAAAACTGTTCATGTGCCTGGTCTGGAAACATCAATTATTATCAAATGTAGCAGCCGAGTCGGTCTCTGGAAGAATTCAAAGACTTCTTGGAGTGATCTCAAAGCCTGAAGCCAGTTGGAAGGATGCAGAGGAGATGGCTGTGGTCTATCTTGCTGCATGAGTTTGATCCCGTGAATCTTGAGGAAATGGACAGGATCTTCTTCTATATCAGCTCAGTCACTTGCAGTCAGGACCTCTGCCCCTTCTGGTTGGTGAAATCCTGCAGGGAAGTGAAGGATGAGCTGGTTCATTGGGTGGTAAATGTGTCCTTGGGAGAGGAAGTGAAACTATCACTTGACCGAGTAATATTTGGGGGAAGGTTGTGGAGAAAGTGGTTGGGCTGCTATTGCAAAAGGCCCTGGAGAAAACAGACAATCTGGAGTCATTTCAGACTTCCATTTCAAGCATTATGATGCTTATTGGTGATCTCTAGTGGGACCAGGATAGGAATAGTGTGACAGTCTTGTTGTCCCTTGGTCCTTCAGCCATTTTCAATACCTTTGATCATGGTACCCTTCTGAGTTGTCTTCAAGGATTAGAGTGAGGTCAATTGCATACTGGTTCTCCTTCCTGATAGAACAATTTTGGAGGGGAACATTGAACCCTAGGCCTATTAATGGGAGGGAGGTAGTGCAGGGCTTGAGGTTCTCCCCATTCATATTCAATATCTTACACAAAACTGCTGGTTGTAGCATTGTCAGCAGCATGGGGTGAGGTTTCCTCAGTATACTGATGATACTTAACTGTACATCTTAATCCCTGGGAAAGAAGTGATGCTGTCAAAGTGCTATTAAGGTGCTTGGAGGCTTTCCAGATTTGGATGCAGATGAACAGACTGAGGCAAATCCAGCAAGATTCAACCCAATGAGATTCCATTGTTAACTCTGAATGGGCAATCTTCCTGCAGGTAGAGCTGATTCATAATCTGGGGAACTTCCTGGACTCACAAGTTTGTTTAAGAGCAGGGGGCAGCTGTGGCTAAGATAATATTTGTTCCAACATGTTCCAATTGTAAGCTTTCCCAGAACAGCAAGTATTACTCACTGTCAATCATGCCTTAGTCACTTCTCAAGTGGATCATTGCAATATGCAGTACATGAAGCTTTTCTTAAAGAGTATTTGGAAGTTACAGAATGCAAGTAGTGATGGACACACCTCAAGGTACCAACATAACACCTCTGCTCAGAGTTGGCTTCTGGGGACAATTCAAGATGCTGATTGCTACTTTTAAAGTCCTTCATATCTCAGAGCCTACAGTTTGAAATACTACCTTCCCCCAGCAGCATCTGTCTACCTGATAAAGTCCAGTAGGATAGGCTCACTAGATATTCCCTCAGTTAGAAAGTGTAAATTTCAAGGGCCACATAAGTATGCTTTCAGCCACCAATAGAGCTCCTCTGAAAACTGGTTACTTCTTTCCCTTCTGACTTTTTAGGAAGCTGATGAAAACCTTGTTCCACCAAGCCTCAACAATTGAGGTAATTATCTTCTGGTGAGATTAGCTTTGTTTTCATTATCATTAATATTTTTATTAGTGATTCCCATATTTTAGTGGCTGTTTTTTAAACTGATCATATGTTTTCCTAATTACAGTTACATATTGGGGAGCTGTCCTTGGCAGGAATAGCATAATTTATAGGCCTTGCAAATAAATAAAAATAAAAAAATTTGTGGAAAGCGTCATTCTAGTTAGAAATGTGTATCCCAGTGACGTAAGCTATTTATTTCCTATAAAGCTCTCTATGGCTTAGATCCAACATTTCCTTCTCTGTGATCTTTTGCTCCACCCACAACACACACACACACACACACACACACACTACTCAAGGCAGTTTATCTTGAGCTGAGACTTCTCTTTAAATGTTACTCTGGAACACTGGAATATACTTTCTACTGAATTGAGAAGACCTACTGTAGCTCTTTTTCATTCTTTTTTCATTCTTTAAAAAGGGTCTTAAAAGATATCTTTTGAAATGAGCTTTTAACAATATATTGTTTTAGAAATTCTTTTAGAAATTTTTAGAAATTTTAATATTTTTATTTTAAATCTTATTTTTATATATACAGTATCACTGGGAGACCAGATTAGTCCACTGTGTAACAAGTTCAAGAAGTAAAACATGCAAGTTATCAGTATTCTAAGGAGATGGTAAGGAAGGTTATTGAATGGCAGAGCTAAAAAAAAAATCTACCTGAGGTTTCCTCCCAAATCTGCTTCACCACAAAGAACCATAATTCAAGAATAAATTGCATGCAAAGTTCTCAAAGTTGCACTCTAATTAATTCAAGAATCCTCTGTAGAAATCTTTGTTTATTGTCGGTATTAGAGAGATGCTGTCAATTGGAGTTATCAGTTAGATGAACTTATATATCCATCAGGAGTTGTCTTTCAACTTGGCACCAAAAATCCCAGCTTCAAGTTGGCACCTCCAGTTAATAGATCTGAACAATCTGCATGTTTTATCTGAGCTGTCACCCAGGTAATTTAAATTAACATTTGCAGAGGGCACAGTTCTTGGACTACTACAACCAAATGTAATCAGCACAGCACACAAGCCAACTAAAGCCCTTCAAAACATCCTAAGCAAACCAAAACACCCAGCAACTCCAGAAGAAAAAACAGGAGTCATCTACAACGTACAATGTAAGAACTTAAACAACCACTATGTAGGACAAACATGCAGAAGACTGGCAGAACGCATCCATAAACAGCAACTGGCAGTCAAAAGGCATGAGGAAAATTCTTTAATTTCACAACATATAGACAGACTTAACCATAGTTTCAACTGGGAAAATGTGACAATCCTAGACCAGGCCAAGCCCAAAAATGCCAGGGAATTTCTAGAAGCCTGGAACTCTGACAAATTAGCCATCAATAGACACATAAACATCAACAACATCTATAGACTATGCAAAGAGGCTATCACCCAGCCCAAAAGGGAACAAAAAGACCCAAGCACCTCTCCACCAGCAATCAGCACCCGGATCAGCATAGATTAACTCCAAGGTTAACATCAGATTAACAATCAAATAAACAATACCCCAATCAAGAAACTATCAAAGAAGCCAACAGCAAACACCCTAACCAAAGAATCTCTAATACCACCCCCAACAACACTGATAGACAAGCCATCAGGATATAAACTGACAGCAAACAGCACTCCTAGCTAGCACTGATGATGTTACCTGGTTTGGGTAATGAAACATCTGCAAGAAAACAAGCAAGCTCACAGAGCACCAAGGACCCCTCATTACTATATCCATTCTGCAAAAATCTGCATAACCATCAGATGGCAGCAGAGAGGTATAGGAGGTCCTTTGCTGGTATCTAGTTCTCCATGTATTGGCAACCCAATTCTCATAGACCTAAGAAAGTACAGTATATATTCTTTATGTAGAAAGCCCTGCTTCAATCCCTGGCATGCCTTCTGAAAGCCTTAGGAAGAGGGAGATGGGCAGTTAAGAAATACGAAACAAATATACAAACAAACACTATATCAGTCAGAATAGATAATGGATATATTCATATTTTCCAAGGAAGGTACATTCACACTAACCATTATGCTTGGTTAATGTTCATTAAACATTAACAAAACAACAACTGTACTGGTTTTGTGTGAACTCGGCCCATCTGATTAGCTTATGGGTCAAGATATTGTGTGCATCCAGCAAATGGGCTAATGTAATAACAGACTGTATGAATGCTCAAAGAATAAACTATCAAACTCAAACAAAGTAGTTCCCGATGCTAATTTCATTTGAAAACCTCCAGGGATGGAGCACTCATGACTCTGGGAGGCAAGCTGTTCCACTGATTAATTGTTCTCACTATCAAAAATATATATATATATCCTTGGTTCCAGGTGGGATCTCCCTCTGAAGAGCTTTCACCCATTGCTCCTTGTCCTGCCTTCAGGTGGTACAGAGAATAAATTGACACCTTCTTCCCTGTGTGCTCTTGGATGCAAATTTATAGCTAGAGATACATGTAAGTTTGGTGATCTAGGTATCACTTTGGCTAATAAGTCATCTTCACCCATTTCTTAATGGAGATAAGCTGATGTCAATAGGGCTACTAAGCCCACAACTGAGTTACTGTAATGCATTCTTTGTTGGACTGCCCTTGAAGAAAGCATGGAGTTTACAGCTGGAGCAGTGTGTTGTGGCTCAGAAAATGATTGCATATTACCTTGTTCTGCTAGAGTTGAATTGATTACCAATAGCATACCTGGTCAGTTTAAGGTGTAGGTCAGTGGTTCTCAACCTCAACAACTTTAAGATGTGTGGATTTCAACTCCCAGAATTCCCAGCCAAACTGTTGCTTAACATTGCTGGGGTTGAGAAACCCTGATTGAATATCTAAAATTTAGCAAAGCAGATTAAGGGAGAAAAATGCTCAAGAATCCAAAACTATTTAAGGCTTTAAAGGTCAAAACTCAGCACTTAGAACTGGGTTTGGAAGCAAATAGAAAGCTAGGGTAGCTATTTCAAGATCAGAGATAATTTGTAAAGTGCATGATATCAGCCATCTCCTTTTTCTCCTTTGTATTATTTGAAGTTACCAACACATACGAAGGTCAGTTACATAGGTTACAACTGTCTACATGAGACATAATGAAAGCATATATTGCTGTGGCCAGATTCATTTTTTCAGGGAGAGGTCCAGCTGTCTTTCAGTGAGAGCTTGGCAGACTCTCCTTATTCAGTTCCCATGCGGATTTCCCAAAAAAGCTAAATGGGGATGAAATTGGTTTGGGGTTAGAAACAGCCTTATTCACTTTGATGGGTAACCACCAGGAACTGAATAGAGGGAATGTTCCTTGTTGATCACTTGTGGTGTTTCCCCAGAACTTTCTGTATGAAATTCCATATGACCTCACAATGGCTGAAGTCAATTTGTTTTCATTTAGTTAGCTACAGTGTGATGGCCTGACGGGAGAGTCCTCTGGTGAAATAGAAGGTACAATTTCCTTTTTCTTTTGTGCTGAAAAAAAGATGTTATGCCTTAATACAGATAGTCCTTGACTTACAACCACAACTGAGCCCAAAATTTACATTGCTAAGTGAGACATTTGTTAAGTGAGTTTTTGCCCCATTTTATGACCTTTCTTGTCACAGTTGTTAAGTGAATCTTTGCAATTGTTAAGTTAGTAGCATGCTTGTTAAGTGAGTCTGGCTTCCCCATTGACTTTGCTTGTCAGAAGATTGCAAAGGATGATCACATGACCCCAGGACAGTGTAACCATCATAAATATGAACCAGTTGCCAAACATCTGAATGTTGATCCAATGACTATGGGGATGCTGCAATGGCCGTAAATGTGAAAAACAGTCATCAGACACTTTTTTCAATGCCGTTATAACTTTGAACAGTCACTAAATGAACTGTTGTAAGTTGAGGACTACTAGTACTGGAAAGAGAAGGGTTTTTTTTAAAAAAATAAATAAATCTGAAGCTCAAACCCTATGAAACCATAGGCCTTCTTTCCATTTGTCTCCAGTGGTCATGCTAAGGATTATTAAATGAAGAAGCTAGTTGCAAGGATAGAAGATTTTAAACTACCACTAAATCAGTGCTCTGTGACCCATAGCGCATGGGCTACAAATGGCATGTAAACTATATAGGCACAGAGAAGAGGAGAACAATTTGTATTCCAGGGCATTGGAGGGCAAGATAGGGGATGGGGCTGGTCAGGGAGAGGGGCAGCCTGGAGCTGAGGAGATATTTCCTGGCAGTGAGGGCAATTGATCAGTGGAGCGACTTACCTCCAGGGATTGTGGGTGCTTCATCACTGGAGATTTTTGGGAGGAGATTGGACAGCCATTTGTCAGAAATGGTACAGTTTTTCCTTCCTGAGCAGGGGGTTGGACTAGAAGACCTCCAAGGTCCCTTCAGCTGTATTCACATTCATCCCTTGCTGACTTCAGTGACTAAGAAAATAACAAAATGTACATCCTGATGTCATGAGGTAGATCCTGCCCTTTTATATTTGCAAATGTGAGATACAAATATATTATAAATCCCGACATCTGCAGTGTGATATCACAACACGTGCTCCATCACTCCCCACATTTTTCCATGAAACCAGAAAATCCCCAATTTTCAGATGCTCCATTTTTTTTAATAAGCATTGAAATAAGCCTATTGATTAGGCTTAATGCATGCATTTTATTTATCTTTTTAAAAGTCCAGCATTGACTTTTTCAGTGATATCACTGTGGAACTTCAAGAGACCCTCCAAATTGTGGGAAATGAGGCGTTTTAGTTGCCTGGAAAAAATAGTTTTCCTTTCCGTTCACAGTAACAGAAAGCAAAATAAATGTTTTTAGTTGCTGCAGTGATTAACACAGAACTTATGACAACATCTGTTGGAATGTTAGAATCCTTAAAAGCCTTTCAGGAATTATTATTATTACTGTTTTGGCAGATTAGAAAAAATGGGAAAATTTAAAAAATCCAGTAAGAGATTAATTTTCCTTTGATGAGAAGTCCTCATTTGTGTTAGCAATTATTTTTCACAACTTTGCTTGCTTTTTCTAATCAAAGCTAAAAAATGCAGTCCAGTTGGCAGATCTGTCAGCGGCCTGTATGTTTGTAGTCACACTCCATAAACTTCATTGTGAGATTTTTAAGAACGATATGTTGATTGATTTGGAGTTTCTGTGTTTTATTATAGTGGTCATAATGAGACTATTTGTTTCTTGAAATGTAAATATTGGAAGGTTTAGGGGATCATTTATTTTAAATTAAAGATTAATCTTATACACGAGTTACAATGGATCTGGTTTACTGCAAAGCTCAATAACAGTTCCTAGAACACCTTGAATTCCATAAAGGCCCATTCTTAATAAATAAAACACCAGAATTTTAGCAAACTCATTTGAGAACCAGCTTGGTTAATGGTTAAGGCACCAGGCTAGAAACCAGGAGACTGTGAGTTCTAGTCCTACCCTAGGCATGAAAGCTGACTAGGTGACTTTGGGACAATCACCAGGACATTGTGAGTTCTAGTCTCATCTCAGGCATCAAAGCCAACTAGGCAGTGGTGGGATTCAAATATGTGAACAACTGGTTCTCTGTGTGAATGCCGCCTCTGGAAGTCCATTCTGGGCATGGGCAACAAAAAATTAGCTACCGGTTCTGCTGAAGTGGTGCAAACTGGCTGAATCCCACCACTGAAACTAGGTGACTTTGGGACAATCACCAGGACACTGTGAGTTCTAGTCCTGCCTCAGGCATGAAAACCAACTGGGTGACCTTGGGCCAATCATTCTTTCTCAATCTATGACAGTGATGGCAAACCTTTTAGAGACTGAGTGCCCAAACTACAACCCAAAAGCCATTTATGCATCATCGGGTGCCGGGTGGGTATGGCCGTTGGGTGGGTATGGCCATTGGGTGGGTGTGGCCCATTGGGTGGGCGTGGCTGCAGTGGTAATGGCAGACTGGGTAGGACTAAAAAGTTCAATCAATCAATTCCAACTTTGCAAGATCTTTTTTTCCCGTGAGAAGTTGAAATTGACTGACTGAACCTTTTTTTTTTTTTGCACACGGCGGCGGAGGCCTAAAGCGAAAAGGTTTTATAAAACCCAGCTGAAGGCCTAGGACTGGGGTGAAGGCACGCATGCCCACATAGAGGGTTCTGAGTGCCACCGCTGGCACCCATGCCATAGGTTCGCCACCGCTGGCCTATGATGTCAGGCTTGGACAACAAGTCAGTTGGTCAATTCCTGATGCAACCAATGGATGAATATTGGGTTGATCCCAAAAAGCCAATCCTGCACCTGTGGGAAAATGCTAGGAAGTAAGAAAGAAAAGAAATACAGCAAACTCATTGCTTTCCTTGTAAAAGTACTCATTTGCTCAGACACAAGACAGTAATAAATTGGGAATTATCAATAAGTATTTTGGATGGGGAGGTTGGCTACAGAGGAGAGAGCAGTCTTCTGAGGTGTCTTGAGAGCAGCTACAGGCAGCCACTGCTGCAGCTATTTTGCACTGTAAGTAGGCAAGGCCTTGCCCCATGGCAACCATTGTCCCTGAACACCCAGCATGCCTCCAGCTCAAAGAGGCTGGGATCTGTGTCTCCTGTTCTTTATCACTAACTATTCTTCACTTTTAGACACCTTTGGCCTGGAAGATTGAGTCTCCATTGACATATTACAATACATTTGGAAAGAAACCCCTGAAGTTGGTGTGGCAAGAGTTGGTACATTCCAACGACTTTCTGACTCTCTACCTAATTTTGTTCTGACTGATGAAGTTGCTTGAATGAGCAGTGAAATGTCTCAGATTAACAAAATTTGGTACACTTGTCATGATTCAGCCTTTAGACACCTTTGGCCTGGATGACTGAGTCTTCTTTGACCTATTCTTTACTACTAAGACCCATGGTGGCGCGGTGGTTAGAATGCAGTATTGCAAGCTAATTCTTCTGACTGCCAACTGCCAGCATTTCGGCCGTTCGAGTCTCACCAGCTCAAGCTTGACTCAGCCTTCCATCCTTCCGAGGTCAGTAAAATGAGGACCCAGATTGTTGGGGGCAATATGCTGACTCTGCTTACAGCTTAGAGAGGGCTGTAAAGCACTATGAAGTGGAATATAAGTCTAAGTGCTACTGCTATTGCTACTTACTGTTCTAATTTGTCTTCCCTTCTTTCTGGGGGGGGGGGCAGGTTTCAAATGATTTCCAATGTCCCAAAACAGACAAGAACAGGAAGAAACCCAGTCAGATGAAAAATGCCACCAAGAGCTAGAAGCAGTGGAAAAGGAGTTGGAAGACAGTGCAGACATAACTGATTTTAACCTGCTAGATGGTCCTCAGACTTCAACCGCAGAACAAGCACTGAAGCCTGAGAGCTGGCTTTGGGGATGGTTTCCCTTCCCTCTTCTCTCCGGGCTGACCTGGTTGGGAGACAGGTACTAGCAATGCTTTAAACCAGGCTAAGCCATCTCCTTCATGTTGGTTAGTCTTGAAAGGCTCCATTTAAGGCTAACAGAGGGTAGAAACGTGGAATCCTAACACTGGGGAGATCCTTGGAGACCATCTACTCCATCTCTGTACTCAGTGCTGCAGATCTGCAGCTTCCCTAATGGTGTCCTGATGGGTCTTTAATTTCTGGATTCCCCATGGATTTGGGGGGGGGAGGCTGAAGTTCAGCTAAGGCAGTGGTTCTCAACCTGTGGGTCGGGACCCCATTTGGGGTCGAACGACCATTTCACGGGGGTCGCCAAACCACGCTGTCTGCCATTTTTTTCCCTTTTCCCTAGCTGTCCTACTCCCTCTTATTGGTGGCCACACCCACTTGGGGGTCACCACAACATGGGGAACTGTATTATGGGGTCACGGCATTAGAAAGGTTGAGAACCACTGAGCTAAGGTGTTGAGCACCATGTTGGGGACAGTTGAAAAGATGGTTCTTGAAGCAAGAAAGAGACCAATACTTTGAACAATGAGTCGCCTATTCATCAATTGAAACTCTTGTATTATGATAAGTCCTGCCTCTTTTTCCAGCTGGACACCATGCAATTACGTATTTTTCACATTAAAATACTCTGTGGCAGGGAGCAAAACCAATGACCATGTGGACAAGGCCTCTGTGTCATATTATAAACCCTGTTTATTTTCAAAGGACAACCCTAAGTTTCACATCATTAGAGGAAAAATACAATTTTCTTCTGTCCACGTTTTCCAAAGGGTGCTGGACTGTTCATCATTTTATTAAACAGATTCCCCCTCCCTTGGTCTACCACCTTAAAATGTTTACTCCATTTACTCCTAAAGGAGAAATGGAGATAAAATCTTAGGCAGAAAGAGGGCCCAGTTTCCCTTTCCTCAGGCAGAAACCTGAGGAGGCCACTCTTTAGAAATGCAGATTTGATAATCCATTCAGAAAGACTGGGGCACAGTATTCATAAGCAAAATGCCTACAGCTGATGGGGATTTAAGAATTGCATTCCCCCGCCCAGCTCCAAGGACAGGACAGGACTTTCAGGACATAATAGGATTAACCCACCACCATTAGACTAGCAAAAGACACAAAAGCCCATCTCATTGCACAACCCAGAAACATTTCCATTTCAAAGTCTCAGAGCCCCATAAAGATCTACCCACTCTCAACTCCATTTGGTCAGCTGTCTCAGAACTGCATACTATTGTGGGTTCTGCTCATCATTAAACCTTCTTTCCAAATGGCTAGCCTCCGTTTTATTTCCAGAGTCTTAGCCTCCATTTTATTTACTCCCAGCTTGGAACTGGACCTGATGGTCTTTCTTCCAACAAGAGAAAGCTGCATTTTTGCTTGGGAGCCCCTTTAATCATCATTGATGAATGCTGGAGGAGGAAACAGGTCTGCCCTAGCTCTGTGGTTGGTTCAGAAGTACCACTACTTAGGACTGGTCTGTGGATAAGCTCCCTAACCCCCTCGAAGATCAGAGGAAGAATCACCTTCAGAATCAGTTTGCATCACAGTTAGAAAGAAGGAATCTCTTTTCTCCCTTCCCCTAAAAAAACAAACAAAAAAAAACCACTAACAATTTGTAAAAAGAAACACCTGTCTGGAGCTATCTGCTTGTCTGATGATTTGCAAATAACAAGAGCTAGAGATTTAGTCTTTAAAAAAAATGTTTCGCAACTTTTTTTTTCACCTACTCGCCTTCTTGCTGCTGATCTATTTCAAGCACTTTAGTCTCATTTAAATCTTTAAGTTAAATCTCATTTTATGTTCTGAGCCGGAGGAGTTCATTCTGGAAAAACAGATTGGAAACATGGATCAAGCTGAGAGCATTTTGAGCTGAGCGAGATAATATATTGCAAGGTGGTATGGGTAGTCCTCGACTTACGACCACAATTGAGCCCAACATTTCCATTGCTAAGCAAGACAACTATTGTGAGTTTTGCCACATTTTATTACCTTTCTTGGCCCAGCTGTCAAGTGAATCACTTAACATGGTTAAGTGAATCCAGCTTCCCCACTGACTTTATTCATTTATTATTTATTTATTGAATTTATTTGCCATCTGTCTCGTAGCAAACACCTTTGGGCAGCTTCTAGCTTTAAAGCATTAAAATCCTAACATAAATATCTTTAAAAGAATAAAAATAGAAATCCCAATCAGGATAAAATATTGTTAAAAGATGGAGAGGGAGGGACTTTGCTTGTCAGAAATTCACAAAAAGTGATCACATGACCCCGGGACACTGCAACCATCCTAAATACATGCCTGTTGCCAAACATCTGAATTTTGATCAGGTGACCCCGGGGATGTTGCAACGGCCATGTGAAAACCTGTCATAAGTCACTTTTTTCAATGCTGTTATAACTTTGAATAGGCACTGAATTACAAAGATGATTAGGGGACTGGAGGCTAAAACATATAAGGAACAGTTGCTGGAATTGGGTTATGTCTAGTTTAACGAAGAGAAGGACGAGGGGGGGGGGACAGGATAGTAGTGTTCCAATATCTCAGGGGCTGCTACAAAGAAGAGGGAGTCAAGCTATTTTCCAAGGCGCCTGAAGGCAGGACAAGGAGCAATGGATGGAAACTAATCAAGGAGAGAAACAACCTAGAACTAAGGAGAAACTTCCTGATAGTTAGAACAATTAACCAGAGGAACAAACTGCCTCCAGAAGCGGTGAATGCGCCAACACTGGAAGTTTTTAAGAAGAGATTGGACAGTCAATTGTCCAAAATGTTATAGGGTTTCCTGCCTGAGCAGGGGGTTGGATTAGATGACCTCCAAGGTCCCATCCAACTGTTATTATTAGTATTATTATTATTACTATTACTATTATTATTATTATTATTATTATTATTATTATTGCCTGAAACAGCAGGGTTTGAAAAGCATCTTCTGCTTCCTGGAAGAGAATTGCTTTTACTCTGAGCCATTTTAAGTGTCTGAATTCTTTCTTTGCTACAGAAACAAGTCCCTTCAGGAGCCAGTTTGCTGCCAAGTGCAGAGAAAAAGAACATCCAGTAACATGTGCCCAGCATGTGAGATTATGTTCTGCAAAAAATGTGAGACATTACATTACAGCCGGGTCTTCATTGAACATGGGCTCCTGGGTCACAGCACAGAAGGCTTGCCAGAGGCTCCGAGTCCCACTGTGAGCACAGGCAAGACACCTTTTTGGGTTTCTACATTGTAATCTGTAGACTCAGCCACCGGTGGCTGGGTTTATTTATTTATCAAGTTTGTAAAGCTGAGAAAAATCTTCCGAGACCAGGAATGGTGCTAATGATATGGAAAGAGAGGCTGCTTCGTTTCTTTTCTGGTGATGGTAAATGTAAAATAGGCTTTGCCTTCTGCTTATGAAATACCCAGCAGCATCTGATCCACTCCCTTGAAAGAACAGACCCTGAAATAGCCCCAAAAGGAATAATTTATGAGCTTTGGTCACTTTGATGCAATGGCTAGGGTGCTGGCCTAGAAATCAGGAGACTGAGGGTTCTAGTCCTGCCTTAGGCATGAAAGCCAGCTGTTGATTTTGAACAAGCCACTGTCTTTCAACTCAATCCATCTCACTGGGTTCCTGTTGTATGGATGCTTTGTGCTGACTAAAAATAAACAAAGGGATGGACATCTAATAAATAAATATTTTGGCTCCTGTTTGTCAGCTTCATATCCCACCCTTTTCCCAGGAGCTCAGTCGAGGGCTCAGTTTGTTACAGGACCTCAAATTTGAGAGTAGGCTCAGCATAACCCAAAGTCAATGTTTTTCCGTGGCGGAAGATGAATGTTAGTTTGAACATGAATTTTCCAATCCTAGAATAACTTCTTAACTACAATTCCACATTGGTTTTTCAGAGTTCTACAAAAATTGTAAGGAGGGAGAGGGAGAGAGAGAGACAAAGAGACAAAGAGAGATTGCATGATTAAAACTCTGCCCCATTTTATGCATAGGAAAAGGGTGTGGGTTTGATCGTGCAACCACAGATGCTATCCTGATTTTTTTCAAAATCCTGCAAAAGCTTCATGAGAAAACTCAATTATCAAGTTTCTCTAATATTTTGAAGTATAAGCCTCATTTATTCATTAAAAGATAGAGATTAAAATTAAGCAAATCTACCCTGCTAGGCAAATGCAAGTTATGTAACAGAAGGGAAAACCATGAGATGTATGAGTAGAGACTAATCATCTTAACTAAATTTAATTACATGTAAAGTTATTTTACTTTAAACATGTATACAGCTGCTCATCTTCCAATCGACTCTAAATAAAATAATATCACCGTTTAGTTTTTATTTTAGTCCTCTGTGCTACAATTTAGAGCAATGGTTTTCCAAGATGGCAACTTTAAGATGTGTGGATTTCAATTCCCAGAATTCCATGCTGGCTGAAATATTCTGGAAGTCCACATATTTTAAAGATGCCAAGTTAGAAAAGCACTAACTTAAACTGGGCAACTTTAAAATGTGTGGACTTCATCTTCCAGAGAGTAGCTTCTGAAGCATCACTGAAAAGCCCAGTACAATTCTGAGATTTGAAAAAAAACAACCATTCTTGGAATACAGAGATATATTTATCTTGTCCAGCAGGGCACATCTTGCAAAACAAAAAAATAGCAGTTGGGCTTGGTATTCAAAAACCACCTGCCTCTCAGCATTCAACATATGGGGACAACCCATTGGGAGAAGCTATCCCTTCAGGGTCTGTCTGAATGTTCTAGGACAGTGTTTCTCAACCTTGGCAACTTTAAGATGTGTCTGACAGACTTGAATTCTGGGAGTTAAAGTCCACATATTTTAAGGTTGCCAAGATTGAGAAACACTGTCCTAGGAGGAAGTATTTAGTTGGCTATAATGGTTGGACAGCAGATACTGGACTTGAAGAACATTTTGGTCTGAGGTAGCAAGGCTGATGTTATGCTTTTTTTAAAAAAAATACACACATTTATGAAAAACAGAATTTAGCACATACAGTAGCATGTATAGCATTATTAGCTATAAATGTAACTATGCCAGGCGCTAAGCCTAACGAGGAAAGGGCTTCATCCAGATATTTAGCTTATCATTAGTGGAAATAATGCTGGACTGGATAAACCTAGGTCTGATTTAACTGTTTTTATTCCAGGTTCCATAGACTTAGTTGATGCTCCAGTGGAAGCAGAAGCTAGAGAGACAAAGTGGCCATGAGAGGGAACAATGGACATTTCTTGATGGCCCACCAACACCAGCCATCTGCTTAATTTATTAACCTAAAAGGATGGAAGTTTGCCCAACTTCACCATGACTACTCATATGTGTATGCAGAAAGGATTGTTGTGAATAAAATCTATTTGGCTTTGAGGCTTTCCAAAAACATGGAGTTATAATAAGGTTGGAAGGATACCAGAAAAATCTTAAGTATAGCATCCTAAAGATTAGGATGGTTCTAATCTTTACCTCTGCTAGCTCAGTTCATAGATTTTAACTATGTTCTAGTCACTTTCATACTTTTATTTATATCAATGTTCTCCAACTTGTTACCTCCAACTGTGTTGGTAGCCTCTCCTACTAATATTTCATGTTTGGTCTAGAAACGTGTCTTTAAACCCTCAGAACTTCTTATGATCATCGTATGTAGTTTCCCAAGTTTCCTTGGAATTAACAAATTTGGGATCAATAAGAAAAACATTTATTTTTTTCCCAAGCTACTTGAGTTTGGGTATTTTGTGTTTATAGTGTGAGGGAATCCTACCAAAGTTATTGTCATACAAAAATTAGCCAATGGTTTTAGTTGTGTCATTTAGAATGAAAAGTTCATCTGGAAGTCAACCTAAAATCCCATTATTGGTGGGGAATAAATGACTGAAAGCAAAACAGAACATCTTTGCCAGAAACTCTGTCAGCCCAAGAAGATAAACCAGACTTAAGAAATTAATGCTGTAGAGATTTTATTGAACAGTTATAGTAACAGAATCTTGCAGGCCTGAATGTGCTTCCTCCTCCCTCACTTTATCTTTATGTGAACTAGGAAAGGAAGCAGTTTCTCAGGTTATTTTATTGGTCTGGGCTCAAGCCCCGTTTATCTGACTGTTGCCTTAGTAGCAGCTCTTCAAGGCCATTCCATCTGCCCTGCACAAATAGTGAATGGCCTCCCTGAAATTTGCAGGTGTGCTAAACTGCCTGGAGGATTTCCTTTCCCTGGTCTGATACAGTGGTTCAGTGTGTCATCTTGGCATAATATGAACCATGCTATTATGTTAATAAGGTGACCAACTTTTTTACAATTAAAAGGACACAAATAAATTGAAGAAAAAAATATCGTAAATAAAAGAAACATTTTATTCATTGCAACAATACAGATAACTTGCATGTGCAAAGTTTGCCAGGTGTTTTGGCACACTCAGCAGCAATTCCTATTGGCTTTCGAAAGCCAATAGTGGGAGTAGCACAGCTCATGCAAAAGTTGAAAAAAAAAACCATCAAAAAAAGGTGCCGGAACGCCGTTCTGAGCGTTCTATGAGGGAAAAAAAAAAAAGCCCTGCAAATTAGTCTTCAAATATCGAAAAGGAGGACATGAAGGAGGACACTTTTTGAGGGAGGACAGAACTTACAAAAGGAGGACTGTCCTCCCTAAAGGAGGACAGTTGGTCACCTTAATGTTAAACAACAATATGATTTGTTTGGACAGCGTGTGTGTTCTATGCACAGCAACTGTGTGTTCAGTATCTGGATGATTGGCCATTTTCACCCAGAGTGAGTCAATCCAGGTGTTCCAGGACTAATTCATGCATTTCTGGAAATGGAGGAGCAGAAAGTGGTTTGTGGTATCTTGACCCAAATTATTTTAAAACTTTTACTTCCTGTTCTGGACAATCCACTTCTGGAAAAAACTGAACCAGCCCTGAGAATACAGAGACAGGCTGTTTTCAGTGAGAAACGGATAGTTTTTTTCCCACCTCCAGTAGTTTGTTAATCCAAAAGTTAGGCTTAGCATGTTGCAAAAACATAGTTATAAAGTCCTTAACTCTGAAATACATGGTTTCTGAGAATCAGAAGATATATTAATTCAAACAAAAGGAAACAATTCTAACAATTGTTTGCTCAGTGACAGGTAGCAAAGAAATGTAAGTGACGGAGCAAGTGAAACAACATTGATAGCTGTCAGTCTTCTAGCTGAACATTTTTACCATTCAGGATCCATTGCAAAGTATGCCTTTGTCATTTTGGCTGTTCAGAAATGTCCTCTTCCAGCTTTGCCAACCAGTGCAAAATTGCTCAATGTATATGTATGCATTGTGCATGCCTTTTAACTGGTAAACAAATGTCTAATCCTGGGAAACAGGCTGCTGCCTTCTAAACAGTTTGTCAGCATGGGACTGACAAAAGTCAACATTGGCATGTTGCAACATGAAGAAGGACAAAGAATGAACAACTCCTTTTTACATTCTTCTGGCAAGGAAAAGGAGACCAAGTGTCATAGTGCAACAAGAAATAAAAGATGAAAACAATTTATCTGTAGTCATCTGATCATCATTCTGTTGATCATCAACAGAAGAAAATGATTTTGTTACCATTATAAAATATTACAAAAATAAGGACACAATGACCATGTTCACATAAGATGCCACCAGTCAATCTCCAAAGCATCAGACATAATTCCTCACCTGTCAGGCCCCAAGAAAGACATGGAATTACTTCTGACTAATTTCCTTTATTTCTCCTCACCTCTAGACAGAAATCTTGCCAAACTAAAGCAACTATTTGCATCACTATAGATATACTCTGGGAATCACTCGGGAGGAGCCGCCTTAGCTATCTTTCTCCCAACCAAAGCTTCCATGCTTCAGTGCATCTTTGCCCTCTGGAGTGCAGCCCCTCCCTCCTGGGAATCCAGAATACATTCCACCACATCTGCATTCAATTTGGCAACTATCATAATAACCAGATCTGCCTGGCATACAAAGATTTTGTAGCTGAAGAATACTGGTGAAGTTTCATTTTATAGCTGTGAAATGACTTGGCTGTTATGGCCAATTGGTATTTCAGAAATGTGTTTTATAACTGCCCAGCTTTTGCCATGAGTTGCTGACATGATTGCTTGATAGAGTATAATACTATCTGAGCTCAGCCCTACAGAACAACCAAGTTCTAAATGCCAGAGCAGCTTGTCTAAGCATTGTAGAAGACAATTTACATGCCACTGGTATCACCAAAGCTTGAAAACATAACCGTCTCAGTCACAATCACTGGGAACATAAGGGGGTTCTGCCTATTGGCTTCAATGTGGGAAATCAGATGTTAGTCAAGATGAATTTCATATCTGTTGAATCAGAATGTCTCTCTATATGTTCTTGGAAACAATGATGTAAGAATATTCCAAACCTCTAAATAGGGACAGCTATTAAAAATAGCAGCATCTTTCAAATATATCAGTTTGAGAAAAATTATCTCGGAATTGCAGGTCTACTGAAAATTGTAGGAGAAAAGCTGGCAGAGTCTGGGCACAGAATCAAGAGAGGATGCAGCCTAGAATCATTATGTGTCCATAAATACTCCAAGTCCAGCTCCTCTTGAATTCCATTAACTCTTATCTACAATAGCGGCAATTTAGTGCTGACCATTTGTTGACTAGATTCTTGTGTATAGGCTTGAACAATAAATCTTTTGAACTGGAACTTATATCTGATCCTGATTCTTCATGCCTGACAGAAATAATATCAATATGTTAGAAGACTTGGCAGATATTAGGTAAAAAAACAATCCTCTAGCAATTTAATGCACTTTGGGTATCCAAAGGGAAGCCTCAGATTCATTCCTCAATCTGTTGTGACGGTGTGGAGTCCTTCTGAGTGTACCATATTTTTTTCTTTATACAAATGTTGCAGTGAAACTATATACGTGGAAAAAGAATACAGGATTGCTATAATATAACACCAAAATCCTACAAAATGGTTACCTGTATAAGAGAAAAACTAAAAGCACCATATAGAAAATACATTTTCTAACAGGAAGGAGAGGTAGTAATTTGGAACACGCTCAGCGCCATACTGAAGATGTATCAAGTGGAACAAACTCCGAAGGTAGACGGAACATGATTAGGCACCGGTATTTGAGGCTCATTTGTAGAGGAAAATTTACTTCTGAAAAGACCTTCTGGTTTTCCATTCTTCATGGCAGTCACTTCTGGATGATAAATACAGAAGACTTCAAGTTAAACTTATAGTTGTAAGAAGGCCCGTTTCTATATGAAGGTGCAGCCAACTGCCGGTGGAGAATTACGCTTATCTTCAGTCTTCCTTTCTAGAATGCCTCTGACTGACTAGAAGGCACAACATCAATTTAGTGTCTTACAATCACTGCAAATCAAGGACCGGTGTGTCTCGCCCACTTCACAATAAATTAACATTGATGGTGCAAATCTTGATTGATGGTTCCTCACATCAAACTCTTTTGCTTCCGGAGAGTTTGCATTTTTCTTCCAGAAAATACAATTTTGGCTCAGGCCTTTTGGTTTTTTGTAATCTCTTTGGGACCAGATTAAATGCAAACTTGGAATGCTGCTGAACACAGAGTAAATAGTTTGAGAAGTTCTAGCCTTCTGGAGATTTTACTGGCAAAATGAGTGACAAATCCAGAGATAAAAGATCAGCCCCCAGCTTGATTTAGACTGACATCCTGACAGCCTAGCCACCTCAGTTGAACAGCCCATTTTCCAGTTTCTACGATTTCTAGCTTCTCTGGGTTGAATTTCCAGAACTGGTCATTTCGAAAGAAGTATACAAAGCCATCCTGATGTGTGAGAGCACCATTTGCCAAAGTTGGAACCCCTCCCCAGTCTTTCAAGCTTCGGGGATAATAAGGTTCCACTTGGAGGGTCTCCTCATTGACTACATAATACTTAGGTCCTTTAAAAAGCACCAGCTGACGGAGTGGCTGGAAGAACAGGGCAGTGTCAGGGTGACGTGGGAGATCACCAGTAAGGCTGCACTTTTGGGGAAAACCAACTTCTAGGAAAGATCCTTTGTAGCGCCAGCATCGGCCACCTGTTGAAAGTAACAGAGGAAAGAATGTTGTAAGGAAACAAAGCCTGTCAATTATTAAATAGCAATAAAATTTATATACTGCTCCATAATGCTTTACAGCACTCTCTGAGCAGTTTACAATGTCAGCATTTTTCCCCCAACAATCTGGGTCCTCATTTTACCAACCTCGGAAGGAATAGAAATCTGAGTTAATCTTCAGCTGGTCAGGATCAAACTTCTGGCAGTGGGCAGAGTTAGCCTGCATTACTGCATTGTAACCATTGCACCAACACAGCTCCTAAATCACAAAGCCATACCTGTAGTTGAGAACCACGGTTACTTAAGAAAACATACATTCATATACCTGTATGATCATGCAGGCTTGGCATGTACCAGATGCCTTCTCTGAAACAATGTCATCCTACAGAATTCAGAAGACATGATTTCCTTGTCACAGGACCTGACTTTTGGAACAGCCTCAACATCCAGATGGCCCTGATCCTATTTGTTTTTCAGAAGTCCATAAACCCTTGCCTTTTTTATCAGCATTGGGCCAGGACAATATGCCTGTTGTATGTGAGTTATAGTATGATGAATATTCTTAATTATATTCTGTTTGACATTGGTCTTGTTAGTATGATTTTTATGTATTTTTTGTAAGTCACCCATAAATAACCAGTTGTGCTTAGCATGTTATGTGAATGAAGTCATTTGATCTGTAACTAATCAGCTAAGAATGTTGTATAAATATCGCCTGCCTGCCTGCCTGCCTTCCTGCCTTCCTTCCTTCCTCCCTCCCTCCCTCCCTCCCTCTCTCTATATGGGTGTTCAATTCCACAAAGAGACTCTGATGGGACTCAAAAAACCTCAAGAGCAAATACAAACCCCAAAGAACACAGCACATTAAACAAGAGACTTTATACAGTGTGCCTAGTGTGTGTTAGATTTGTTGTGGGATACATGCTAGCCAGAGCAGCAGCTGCAAAGCCCATTGAGTATCCAGATAGATCCCCAATTCCTTTGATGCTTCCACAGAAAAGTCAGAATACCCAGAACTGTAAAACAGGATTCACGATGTCAACAACAAATGCTTTTTTACAGTAGCTTCTGCCTGGATGTCACTCTCTACTCTCGAGGCCTAAGGTGGGAGAGAGAGCAAGCCCAGGCCAGAGCCACTGCTTTCTAAACCTGCTGCAGGAACAAAGGCCCCCTGCCTGCCCCTTGCTTCCTCCTTCTCTGAAGAGCTAATACTTGAATGGCAATCTATAGCAGGAGTGTCAAACTCAATTTCATTGAGGGCCGCATCAGCATTGCAGTTGCCCTTAGGGGGCGGGGTGGGTGTGGCCAGAGTGGGTGCAGCCTACTGGGTGGGCGTGGATGGAGTGGGTGTGGCCTACTGGGTGGGCATGGCCAGTTCTACATCATTCGCATCAAGGGTGCCTGTGGGGGCCTGGGCAGGAGTGGGACAGATCTGAGGGTCTCTGGCAGAAGGGGCTGGGACCAGGGCAAGTGCCAAGACATGGTCCACTGGGACAAGTGCCAAGATGGCCATCACAAAATTGTACATTGGCTCCCGGATGGCCTCAGCCAGGGCCAAGGCAGCGGGGGCCGTTCACTCACTGTTTCCAGGATGGCTTCGTGGGCCACATGAAACCACTTCGCGGGCCGCATCCGGCCCCTGGCCTTGTGTTTTGACATGTCTGTTCTATACCTACTGTTTTTGCTGCTCTGCAGCCCAGCACCAGAAACTCTAATTCTGTTCCATCCCTCTGGTATCTGCAATTACAACAAACAAGACTGGCCCACATTGTTTACAGGCTGAGATTCCTAAGTATTTTACTATATAATCTGATAGAGAATTTTCATTATTGTTTGCATAATTGCAAGGAGGCCTAGTGGTGCAGTGGTTAAGTGCAGTATCGCAAGCAAACTCTGCCCACAGTATGGAGTTTGATTCTGACTGGCTCAAGGTTGACTCAACCTTCCATCCTTCCGAGGATGGTAAAATGAGGACCCAAATTGTTGGGTCCTCTGTATAATTGCTTAGAGAAAGCTATAAAGCACTGTGAAGCAGTATATAAGTCTAAGTGCTATTGCTGTTGCTCTAATTGCTAGTTATAAAGAAACTGCCTGAGCTGATAGATGTACACTGACTTCTGAGCCAGAGATAGCATAAACCAGCAAAGGCAATCCCTAGTTTACACCTGCACTTGAGCCTGGAATTATGATTGTAATTCCATAAGTTATGACAGTCACCAAGGGGGCCACTATGTGACTGCGACTGGCTTTATTACCTTTCTTGTAGCAGTCTTTAAGCAAATGCCATGATCATTAAACAAACCTGTTTTAGCCAATGGGAATTTTTTTGCAGGAAATCAGAAGTAAAAGTTGGTTTTCGGCAAAAAAAAAAATGCCAAAAATCACAGTCATGTAAAAATGGGTCATTGAAAATGGCTGAAATATATGGGCCAGTTGCCAAGCACCCAAAATGTGATTAAATGACCATGAGGGGAGGTCCCTGTCAGAACTTAGAAACTGTGTCATAAGTACCTCTGGGGAGATCCACCACAAGTTTGAATTGTCACTAAGTGACTGGTCATTAGTTGATATCTACCTGTAACATGAGCGTTCTCACCTTCTTAAATGCTCCTGGCTAGCCAAGATATTACACAGAGCAAGAGAGACCTGGCTAGACTTGTCATAAGTTTATGATATCTCTTCCAACTTTATTTTTTTAAGTGCAAGGGAATTGTTACCTTTACTGAAATCGGCTGCAGGAGTGTTATTCATAATTGAGTGATAGCTATGGCAGGGCCCATATTCTACATATGGGGAAATCTTGATAGTAATACAGCAATTTTCTCTGTGTGCAATAATGAAATACTGTTCAAATAATATAATTATTCCTGGCAGCATTTCAAAATGGGTCATCGCCGCTAAGATCATAACTATTTTAAATCAGAGAAAGAATTAAAGTAGAATAGGCAAGCATGTTTTTCACAGAGAACCAGCAGATGGCAGCAGTGCTTACTTGGTGAATTTTTTTCTAACTGGAGAATGAAAACAGGTCACAGGGAGAAAGGCCTATAAAAAGTTCATGCCTGTTGAAAAACTAAATGCAGGTCAATCAATCAGAATAGAGCTGGAAGGGAACTGCCCCCTGCAACATACTGGTATAGGCTTTCATGACCAGTACAATGGTACCTCGGTACTCATCACTAATTGGTTCCGGGAGGTACGATGACTACCAAAAACAATGAATACCAAATAATGTAAATAAATTTAATGCATTCCCAAACCAAAAACAATGCCCATTTTTAAGGCAATATGTAAAAAGATTGGGTTGTATATCATTACTTTACATGAGTAATAAACCTAAAAATTAATAAATACTTAGATTAAATAAAATAAAAACTTCATTTTGCTGTACTAGAAATAAATAAATGAATACGAGAAATAAAAAGCACAAAAATACACAAAATGACCACAGATGCTAAGACTACAAGCGGAGGTACACGGGGCAAGAGCTAGGGCAAGAGCTACCACATGACTAATATGTCACTCTTTGATTCAGCTGGAAAGAGTAGCGAGTCATGACGCAACTGACACCGACAAGTTCTAGCTTGCGCGTTTGAGTACCAAATGACAAGTACCAGGACATTTTCTCGTCAAAATGCATTGAGTGCCAAATTTGATGAGCTTCAAAGCAGTTGAGTACCAAAGTACTACTGTATCTGTTAGGCTCTGTTGGGTCCCTACTTAAAGCCAATCAGAGGTCAGGTCACCTGGCTACAAAGACAGGAGCCTGATCAGTCTCTGCTCAGTCGCTTGTAGTCAGCAGAGTAATCCACTTTGGCTCTGAAGATGCCAGATACAGTTGCCAGAGAAACGTCAGGAAATCTGCTGTCAAGACTATGGTCACTAAACCCTGCAGCAAAGCAGTGCCCAAAAGATGGGGCAGCCCCTATAGCAGGAAGGAAGAATATGTACCTATCCACTAGATCAGGGATGTCAAACTCGCAATGTCACATGATGTGTTGCGATGTATCACGACTTTTTTTCCATTGCCGGCAATGAGGTGGGTGCGGTTTCGGCATGACGCATCTGGCCCGTGGGCCAGCAGTTTGACACCCCTGCACTAGTAGCCACTATGGCGAAGGGTGAAAGTCTTTTCCTCATTAATGACATCAATTTGCCAGCTCTGCTTTGTGTTAAAGGTCATATATAGGTAGTCATCAATTTACCGTTGTTTGTTTAATGACAGTTCAAACTTATAATGGCCTTGGAAAAAGTAACTTACCCACCCTCACGCTGTGACTGTTGCACCACATTGGTGGTCATGTGTTCATGTGAACTGGTTGCAAATGAGTGTTAGACAACTAGTTCACATTTACAACAGTTAGGGCATACCGCAGTCATGTGATCATGATTTGTGACCTTCCCAGCCAGCTTCCAACAAGCAAAGTCAATGGGGGAAGCTGGATTCACTTAACAACCACATAATTCACTTAGTAACTGTTTGACAGAACAGTAACCATGTGATTTGCTTAATAACTGTGGTAATTTGCTGAACAACCACAATAAAAATGGCCGTAAAAATCAGGTTTGGTCATGTGGTACCTTGTTTAATGACTGCATTGCCTGGCAACTGAAACTGAAGTCCCATTGTGGTCATAAGTTGGACCATCTGTATGTTATCTTCATTGATCTCAAGCCTACCATTTTTAAAACATCATCAACATCTTCCACCTTTACCAGGGCACAGCACAGATACCGTATTGTACTGAATCTCCCTTTGAAATCAGTTTAAATTAAAACCAACTCACAGTTTAAAACAACTTTAATTTGGATCAGTTGCAAGGATTGCCTTGTTGTATCCCGATGTGCGGGGATTGCAATGCCACACTGCTCACCCAGACTGCCCCTTTGGATTCTCCAATGTCATTTAAAAAATCAGCACTTCCAATTGTAGAGAATGGTTTTTGAAATATTCCAAGCACTGTATCTCAGCAATTCTGAGAACAATTTGAAAAGGCGTGCTATTATTTTTACAGCCAAATTGTAAATGGAAAGGTGGAGGTTGAAAGATTCTATTTTATCTATAGCCTCTGGGCAATTATGCAGCTGAAATAAGATCTGGTTTGATATCTACAATCAAATGAACTACCTTTAAAAAAGTAGAATTTCCTGTCTTTCTCTGAGAAGGCTGCAGCATCAATGGCAGAAGGGAGACCCGGCCATTTGGCTTGGAGAAGGTACGGACCAGCAGCAGACTCTCCTTTGGATACAATCCAGTAATACTTGCTTTTAAAGATGTACAGATTATCTTCCATATCTATATAAAATAAAATGTAAATGCCTTGAATATTTCAATCAAAGACATAATAATTACTGATATGTTGATCCATACAAATGGATGCATTGATTGGAATTCTGTCATATTTTATTATTTTTCATTTAAATGTACAACTTGCCATATCTCCCCAGAATAGCATTCAAGGTAACAATAACAACAATAAAGACACAACAAAATTATAATTATAATGAAACCAAGATTATAGCAAAACCTAATCAACACTGAAGCATAGCTGAAGAAATTCAGGTTTATTTTCCCACCCAGCTGACTAGATAATATGAAGTTTTCAATTTAATCTCCCCCCCTGGTATTGTGAAGATAAAAAAAAAATGAAAGGTGAGGCGCAATTGTGAGCGTCTGAGAAAAATGATAAAAACAAATGTTTGAATAAATAAAATCCATCAAAAGTTTGTTAAATAACCATTGTTTTATAATAACCATGTTAATGTTCAATAGTACAGTATTAAGAGTATTGCAGCCTTTTCATCTGGAAAAACTATAAAACCACTCAAGAGAAGTGTAAAAATCACTTATTTTTTTACTGTGCTTCTATGTTCTCCATTCCTGTGGATCCTGAGAGGCTTATAAAATACCAAAAATGCTAAATGCATCTAATCACGTAAAAGGCTTCTAGCAACTTGCTGTGATAGAATCACTCACAGGGGCTGGCTAAGCCTCCATATCTCCAATTTTTTCCTAAGGACTCAAATCTTTATAAAGTCCTTTAGAAAACCAGAAAGGTCAGATAACTAGGGATAAGTGATTCCATACATGGGGGATAATCACTGAAAAGCCCCAATCTCCCCAGAGTCCTATAAGTGGCATTTCTCAAAGAAGGAAGCCTTCCTAAGCTTTCTGACTGGATCTCGTGATCAGATTCAGTCTGGAAAAGGCAAAGCCATAGGTCCCAAGCCATACAGAGCTGTAGATAACTTACAATTTGAATTGTATCTGGAAGCTGATTGGTAACTAATACAGCACCTGAAACAGTGATGTTACATGGACAAATTTCAATGTCGCCGTAACTATTTCGGCAACTGCACGCTGTACCAGCTGAAACATCAAAAAAGCCTTCAAGGACAGGGCTTTGCAGAGCTAATTACAGTAGGCATATGTGACTGTGCACAGATAGCCCTTGACTTACGACCAGTCACTTAGCAACTAACTGACGTTATAACAAACCCCCCCAAAAATATTTACACTCAGGTTCTGAAGTTCCAGCTGCTGAGTCTCTTTCTGGGGTCACATGACTGTATTTGGGACACAAGTTGTGGGAGCTTCATCACTGGAAGTTTCAAGAAGAGACTGGACTGTCATCTGTCAGAAATGGTGTAGGGTCTCCTGCTTGGACAGGGGATTGGACTAAATGACCTACAAAGTCCCTTTTACCTCTGCTATTCTATTCTATTCTATTCTATTCTATTCTATTCTATTCTATTCTATTCTATTCATTATGTTGTCTGATTATGTTGTCACCAAAAACTAGCCTATACTTCCGCCCATAGCGAACAATGACCGTGACATTTATTTAACTATCGCTACAATAAAATTGTGTCAGTCAATGATGATTACAATCATCATGACTTATGACTGTAATTGGCAGGCTCTGTTACAGTTGTAAGTCGAGGATTACTTTATACAAGACTTCCTGATACCACCTAACGCAGGAATGGTCAACTTAAATAGCAAACTTCTTTTTTAAAAAATCCTTTAAAAAATGTCTGATAGATCTTTCTAGAGAAACTGTGCTACCATACCCAAGTCCGTTCATTCTTACCTACAGTTAAGGCATCAAAAAATGACAAGCAGTAATGGAACCTGAAATTTGTGTCTTGATTCTGTTCCCTATTTTCAAGGTAATGCTTCCCATCCTGGAAACGAGCAAATGATTTTCCTGGAAGCTGGACTATCGGGCCTCGGGAGGGTTTTCCTGTTGAAAAGAAAAGACAACAGTCAGAAAAAAACCAAGACCTGTATGTATTGTTGGTGTTTACTTGAGGAGAGTTCAGTCAGCATCTTTATATAGTTACACAGAGCCTATATATTTGAAGAATTTAGCTAAGTGCTTGAATCCTTGCCTCTCATAAAAAAAACACCCTAATTCAGCAGTTTGAACATATTATGGAAGTAGCTTTATTTGGACATCTTAAATAAACTACATTGACATCTGTTGTCTTTTTCTAACTTAGGTTTGTTCTCAAACCCTTACAGGTAAATTTTCCAAAACAAATTTAAACTTTGAAAAATCCCTAGTAGCTGCTTTGCCACCAAAGCAGGTCTTGACATTACCATTCCTCTTAGGCTTAGTGGGATAAGCAGGCAGATCCTTCCGTCACAGCAATGCGGAGCTCCCAAAATGTGAAGTAAGAAAAAGGCTCTCTTTTTTCTGCCATCTGGTGGTTATTAGAATTGTTGCAGGACAAAAACTCTACTTAAGGTCAGTCAGTGGCTGTAATAGTATGTGAGAATGATCTCTGGAAACCGGGCAAGAGCTGCAGGCAGGGTAGTGGCATAATTTTGGGCCAGTCATTTTCTCACTGCATAAATAAAAGGAAGCAGGGGTGGAAAAGGACAAATTATAAGCTCCCCGTGGTTCTCTGAAGAATTCATTCATTCATCATTCATTTTTAGCCATTGTCTATCCACTACAGAATGAAGGCCTCTTCCGCATGTTTCCAACCACTAAAGTCCTGAGCTTTCTTTTGCCAACTGGGCCTGCAGTACTTGCTGATGTTCTCAATCCATCTTGCTTTGGGTCTCTTTCACGGATGCTTTTTATCAACTGGGATCCATTCTATGACATTCTCCGAAGAACAGCCTGATGCAATTAAAAAAGCTGATTCCTAAAATTTCCTAGCTTCCCAGTGTCATAAACATAACGACCAGGCAGCACAGCGTTATATAAGAGTCACACATCCCTGAATATTGGGTAGTTGGGTGGAAAGATGGCAAAGTAACATCTGTAAAGCAGAAAGTGAAATTGCAATAGCAGTTTCAACTGGAACAGCAGCCATTCTGAAAGGGCTAAGCAATTCCTCTACTCCAAAATTATAGAATAATAGTTGGAAGGGACCTTGGAGGTCTTCTAGTCCATCCACCTGCTTGAGTAGAAGACTCTATACTATTCGGGACAAATGGTTGTCCAGTTTCTTCTTTAAAACCACCAGCGATGGAGCACTCATATCTTCTGTAGGCAAACCCATTCCACTGATTAATTGTTCTCACTGAAAGGAAATTTCTCCTTAATTTTAGGTTGGATTTCTCTTTGATAAACTTCCATTTGTAACTTCTTGTCCTGCCCTCAGGTGCTTTGGAGAATAGATGGACCCTATCTTCTCTGCAACAGCCCCATAAATATTGGAAGACCCACCTAGCAATTTGAAAGCACGCAAATGCAAGTATATTAATAGGTACCACTTCAGTGGGAAGGTAACAGTGTTCCATGTGCCTGGCATACAGCCAGGCCGGCCACATGACCACTCTGCACTCTTTTTAGAGTCTCATTCACTCCAACTGGTTCCAAAGTTGCAAAAGCATGCAGAGTAGACAACAAGAGTGATTAGGGGACTGGAGACTAAAACATAACAATGAACGGTTGCAGGAACTGGGTATGTCTTGTCTAACTAAGAGAAGGACTAGGGATGACATAATAGCAAAGGTAAAAATAAAGCTTTCCCTGTCTAGTCATGTCTGACTCTGTTTCTTGGCCAAGGGAGCCAGCATTGTTCAAAGACATTTTCTCTGGTGATGTGGCCAGCAAAGTGGTACCTATTAATCTACTTGCATTTGCATGCCTACAAACTGCTAGGTGAGTCTTCCAATATTTGAGGTGCTGTCACAGAGAAGAGAGACCTATTTGAAGATATGGTCATACCCAGGGCTTTTTTTTCTCATAGAATGCCCAGAACGGAGTTCCGGCACCTTTTTTGGATGGAACTTTGTAGGGTAGGCAAGGCGGGTTGTATAACATGTGTGAGTTCTGGCACCTTTTTTTTTTTTTTTTTTTTTTAGAAAAAAAGCACTGGTCATACCAACTTTACCTTGAGAAAGTTTTACTCTTGAGGAATTAAGTTCTATTTACCGTATAAATTCTGAATGGCAAGAACATCATCCCAGTTCAGGACAAAACCCTTGCCCAGCTTCTTGTAGTAAGGGGACATAAGAGCATTGGATACGGGGGAGTGTTCCAGGCCCAGCGTATGACCAATTTCATGGGCCATCACCACAAAGAGGTTACGGCCTTTCCCACTGTCCAGGGACCATCTCTCGGCATTGTCAAAATGGGCCTCGCCACGGCGTGGGAAGAAGGCATGTGCCAGAGCACCCCCTAAGGAAAGAGAAGGAGAAATCAGATCCCAGATCAGATTGAACATATGGGTAGTCCTCGACTTACAACCATTCGTTTAGGGACCGTTCAAAGTTACAGTGGCATTAAAAAAAGTGACTGATGACCCTTTTTCACACTTACAACCACTGTAGCATCCCTATGGTCATGTGATCAAAATTTGGATGCTTGGCAACTGGCTCATATCTATGATGGTTGTGGTGTCCCAGGGTCATGTGAACCTCTTTTGTGACTTTCTGACAAGCAAGTCAAGGGGGAAGCCAGATTCACTTAACAACCACGTTACTAACTTAACAGCTGCAATAATTCACTTAACAACTGTGGCAAGAAAGGTTGTAAAATGGGGCAAAACTCAATAACTGTTTTGCTTAGCGACAGAAAATTTGGGCTCAGTTGTGGTCATAAGTCAAGGACTACATGTATTTATGTTTAGCTATGGAAGTCAGTCAGCTCCCTCCATCAGAGCATTCCATACGGCTGATGCTTCTTCTATGATCATCTTTATTAATGCCAACTGCTAAAAGTAGGAGGATCACTGCCTGGCCCTAAGTTGCTGCAGTGGAGAAAAAAGAAGCTTTCATCCTCATTCCATGCAAAAGAGACATAAAACAAATGGCTTTCATCCTGGCTGCCAAGTTTTTACTTTAATACTGTGTGCTTTTTTGAATTGTATTGGGGGGAAAAATCTAAATAATTCCTATGGGGAGGAAATTGAAAAGCCACCAAGCCACCTTTCCTCTTAAAAGACCTGCTGGAGTGATTGAAGGCCAGGAAAAAAGGGGGGGCTCTTTTAAAAAAATCTGCTGTAGGACTTCAGCACTGCAGATGTTAAAAATTAAGATCATTTTTGATAGTTGCTTAGTTACCAAATAAAGATGAAGAGAAGGAGGAAGAGTTCTGCACACCAGAGCAAAGCTCATTTTGAAGGTTGCACAGATCCCATGTAGAAGAATCCCATAAGCCAGTGATGGCAAACCTTTTAGAGACCGAGCGCCCAATCCACAACCCAAACCCCACTTATTTATCACAAAATGCCAGGGCTGCATCAGCATTGTTGTGGCCTCGGGTGGGGGGGCATGGGGGCGTGGCCCACTGGATAGGCGTGGCCCACTGGGTGGGTGTGGCCCACTGGGTGGGTGTGGCTGTGGTTGTCATGGCAGACTGGGGGGCATGGCTGGGGGGGCACGGCCTTCTCGATGTTGCTCATGGGGGGGACACCTGTGGGGCCGGTGGCCTAACGGACCTGCGCAAGTTGCTGGCAGCGGTGGAGCATGTGCCCACAGAGAGGGCTCTGAGTGCCGCCTCTGGCACACGTGCCATAGGTTCGCCACCACTGTAATAAGCTATGAAGCTCCTCAAACTTAGGATCAAAATTTCAAGTCTTCAATCAGTTTGACTGCAAATATATTTTATTTGCAATATTGGTCAGACACCCCTATAAATGAGTGTCTTGGAAGTGTACAGCAAAACCAGATTATCTAGAAAACAGTATTTTCTACATATATGGAACACATCGGGATGGGCAAAGCTAACTTCTGCACTACCAGCCTTCTCTCTGCCTCTCTCCAAGCCCAAATATCTTGGTCACATATTTCTTTTTAAATTCTTGACTTGTTGGGGGTGACTTCAGAAACAGTAGGAACCCCATGACAGAAGATGCATGAAATCAGAACTCTGGACCAATATGCTCTTATAAACAAAGGATGCTTATGAGGTAAGACATAACAAATCAACACCTGGACCATCAAAGGCATTCTCAACTCCATCATTGTGATCCCCGTAGAAGAACGTCAGCCGAATATCTGCAGGCTCTTCTGCTACTTCCCAAAAAACCAAGGAAGAGACGTTGCTCCAGAGCTCAAAAGCGGCTTTCGCTGCCAGACGGACCTGCTGCTCTGGCAGATACCAAGGCCAGTTGATTAGCCGGTAAGTCAAGTGTCGTTTATACCACTTGCCACCTACAAAGATGAGATTTGGGGGGGGGAGAAATTAGTGGAGGGAAGATCAGAAAAAAACAATTAGACATGAGATTATTGTTTCCAGCACCCTGTTCCTTGTTAAAGGCACATCAACAACAATAACAAGAGCACGTTCTCAGCATCTTCCAAGCAAATGTTTGAAAGAAATATGCAAACAGCCACAGAGTTAGAAGAAAGCAGAAATTTAAGAAATACAACTGAAATTCATTCTCCCCCAACAGTAACTTGTGTGTGTGTGTGTGTGTGTGTGTGTGTGTGTGTGTGTGTACTGATTCTGTGATTTTCTGCAGGAAACCACTAAATGAAATTCAAGTGAAAATGAAAATTATTAATTAGAGCCCACAATTCAATTACAAAGAAGACAAAGTGACGAAGGGCTAAGGGCATGAATTATGCTTAGGACAGGGGTCTTCAAACTTGGCCGCTTTAAGACTTGTGGACTTCAATTCCCAGAATTCCTCAGCCAGCATAACATAGCTGGCTGAGGAATTCTGGGAGTTGAAGTCCACAAGTCTTAAAGCAGCCAAGTTTGAAGACCACTGGCTTAGGGTTTTATTCAAACTAAATGGGGTGTTCATAGGTGCCGTTTGAATAGTCAAGGACACCAACATCCAAATGTTGTCTGTCTCTCCAGTTGTAATTTCCTCATAAAATTCCTACTGCCCCAATTCCTTATGGCTGAAGAAATTTATTCTCTAACATTAGTAACCCTTCTCTTTAGCAGGACTCACATTGTCATTTTCACCACATATGACACAATCCAAATGTCAGGCTAAGATGGGCTTGGTAACTTCCTCCTCCAATTCTGAGTCATGCTAATATAATAGAATAACAGAGTTGGAAGGGACCTTGGAGGTCTTCCAGTCTGACCCTCTGCTCAGGCAGGAAACCTTATGCCATTTCAGACAAATGGTTGTCTAATCTCTTCTTAAAAGCTTCCAGTAATGGCGAATCCACAACTTTTGAAGGCAAGTCATCCCACTGGTTTATTGTTCTCAGTGTCAGGAAATTTCTCCTTAGTTCTAGGTAGTTTTTCTCCTTGATTAGTTTCCATCCATTGTTTCTTGTCTTGCCTTCCGGTGCTTTATGGCCAGATGGCAATTCTATGTGTTATTTTCTATAACTGTGGGCTTCTTTCTTTGCCCTGTATGAGGTGTCTAGCTAGTCCTTTTGTGGGTGAAGGAAAGTATGGGCATGGGGTTTTTGTCTTTTTAATTTCCTTTGCCAGGTTGATCAGTTTCAGTTCTTTGTTTTGGACCAGTGCACTTTTAGCAATCTTTAGCTACTTTGTTTCTTGCCTTTTCAGCTAATGGATGGCTTTGGGGCAGTGAAAATAGGTTTTATTTTCTTACAATAAGCTGTGATTATTCCTACAATGGGATACAGGAATGTGGGCATACCTCCCATTCAGAAGCGCTAGTGTATCTAGCCCTTAAAAAAATTATTTCCTCAGTTTAGAGCAAGTGAGAATATACAAGTAGTTTGCTTGATCCCAGGAATTTGTATCTAGAGGATTCTAGGACTCTGAGGGAGTGAGTTGACTTCAGACTGACATTCTGTATCAGTCAAAAAGGGCTCCACATTCGGCAGCCTGCTGTGATTCTCCCGGTAAACGAAAGGATACTGACTTCAGCCATTAGATTCTTGAAAGCATTTCCTTTCTAAGAGAAAAGACAGTTCTATTCCTCAAAGAGCTGCTTCCTGCTTTGGGCACAGGAAAAAGAGTGAGCTCATCTTAGTGATTGAAGGAGCCTCACAGGCCATCATTTGGGGGCCAAGATGTCAATCTTCCCCTCTCCAATTATTCTAATAGATCATCCAACCCTACATCTGCCATACCCACGAAGCCCCAGGGAGAAAAGATTAAGGACACTATGAACTGCAAAATAGCTTGGAGTATAAATTTTGATCAGGGTAAAAAAACGCAGCTTGGTTGTAACAAATCTTAACAAATGCTATGTTTTAGAGTATGCCCGTATGCCTTCCAAAATCTCATACTGACTGGAGGTTTGGGAATATAACCCCTATTATCCCTTGTCAGCATTCAAGTAATGAGGGCTACAGACCAAGCTTCAACCATTACCTCTATGGGACCATATGCTCCCACCCGATTAAATTGAGAATAGTAGACTTCTTGTGGGTTCCCTCTCTTAACAAATGTCATCTACAGGGTTCTCAGAAGTGACTCTTTCTCCACTGTATACATACCCCTGGAATGGCATCCCTCCCCTGAGAGATTCCTCTTGACCCAACTGGTTGAGGAAAGCAATTAAAACCTAGTTATTTTGAGGGAGGATGATTTGAGAGATTCCTCCTGTGTTCCCATGCTTACCATAGATCGGGGTAGGAAACTATGGCCCTTTTATGACTTGTGGACTTCAACTCCCAGAATTCCTGAGCCAGCTATGCCATAAAAGGGCAACTTCAAAGGGACAACTTCAAAGCTCCTACTCTCCTTCCTTATAATTGATTATAAGAACTTGATTTGCTCCAGTAAGACTTCCCTTAAAGAATACCCTCAAAGGACTATTCTGACAAGCCTTCAAGTGGAGGATCATCACAGAGGAAGACTGATCCTCAGACAAATCAGCCATCAACAAACACATAGAGATAAACAACATCTACATACTACATTCAAAAGAGACAGTCAAAAAGCCAAAAAGGAAACAAAAAGACCCAAACATCTCACCAGCAATCAACACCAAGGTAAGCAGGGGTTAACAGCAAGATTAGCGCTAGACAAATAATCAAGAAGTGAACAATATCTCAATCAAGGAACTACCAAGTCAGACAAACAAGCTAACAATAAACAACAGACTAAACAAGCAGCCAACAACAACACTCCACCAACACTTACAGGGCTAGCCACTAGTGTACAAAAAAAGAGCAAACCCCATTCCCTTCTAGTGTTATGGTGTTGTCTACTTTGGTGCTAAAATGTCTGGAAGAAAACAGCCAAGCTCAGAGAGCACCAAGGACACCACAGTTCATCCTTGAGCTACAATTATTCTTTCCTAACAGAGGATCACCCTCTGTGAAGAGGGATACACAGCTGCCCTGCAGCCATTGCTGTTCAGTTCTGGACCTACTGTAGACTTGCCAAAGCTGGACACTCTCCAAGATCCAACAGCCAGATTTGCTCTGAGGCACCCACCAATTGTGTTTTCCATGGCACTTTTAGGCTGTTTTCACATAAAGCATTCTAAACCTGGCTTGGAAGAAACATGTATTCAAGAGCAGGCTAAATGTGATTAAAGCCAAACATGATAGCTTGTTTGTGGCTTAGTGTGTTTTGAAACCAAGCATGAATTATGCAAATGCAGGAAATGGATTGTTTTGGCGATCAGGTTGAGTGAGAATTCAGGCTTGATTAATTTAAACCTGGTTTACTTTATTCCAGTTTTCTAGACCTACAGAATTCACTGAAGCGAATGTCCAACTGTTTCTAGACAAACTGTTAAGCTAAATGGGACTGATGAGTTTATGATTTATGAATAGAGCTACTCTTTCTATCTCCAGAGGCTCAAGTAAAAACCATAACAAAAGTCTGTCCTAACGGGCATCAACTAATAACAAGATCAACTATTTTATAAGAGCCTAACTTCTGATGCTCAACTTCTAGAAGCAAAATACACGTCCCAGTTTCAACAGGCCCGAAAAAACACACCTGCCTTTGGGATGGGTGCAAAGCTGTTTATTTCCCCACAAAGTGAAAGGTACGAATGACAGCTGCAATTAAGACTTTTAAGGGGGGAAAAAACATGACTCAAGCCTTGCAAAATGAGCCTCAGGGTTCTCAGACTCAAATTATAGGTGTGTTCCTCGAAGGAAGGCAAAAATCATTTACGCAGGGGCAAAGTTTTCTTGTGGTATTGCTTTTCATGGCAAAAAGCAGCCACTATTTTTTAACTTGCTTAGAGCAAGCTCCAATTCCAATTGCCACCATTTGTTTGTAAAATCTTTCTAAAGCTTCCTACATTATTTTTAAACTAATTATTCAGTAGTTTGCTACCAAATCTGGTTGTTCTTAGACCTACTGCCCTGTCTTCTGTCATACTAAAGGAAGCTTACAGGTAGTCCTCAAATGATGACCATAATGGTCTTAAGTTGTAATAGTTATAAATGGGATCACCTATGTGGCCAACCCAATTTGATGTCCTTTATTGCAGTGGTCATTAAGCAAATGCCCTGGTTGTTAAGTGAAATAATGGCTTTCTATGGGCCAGCTTTGCTGAAAATCTGAAGTAAATGCCAGTTTTCAGCAAAACCATTGTCAAATGCGGTTAGGTGATTGCATGCAGGATGCAGGATCACCGCAACCAGTCATAAATGTAAGCCAACTGCCAAGCACCCAAACTGTGATCATGTCACTAAAGGGATAGTGTGATGGTCGTAAATGCAAGGACCGGTCAGAAGTGTGAGGACTGGATTTTTTTCCACACCACTGTAAATTTGAAAGATTTCTAAGTGAATGATCCTAAGTCAAGGGCTACCTTTAATTCCATTATATTCTGCATTGGTTAGACCCCAGAATAAGTACAGTATCTAGTTCGTGTTACCCCATTTTACAAAGGTTTCACTTTCTCACAAATTGGAGCAAAAGCAAAAGAAGGCAGTGATGATCAACTGACTGAAAGCTAAATCCTGTGCAGAGAGGTTGAGGGAGATGCATATTTCACCTGAGACAAGATGATGCAGTAGAAATAGGATAGACTTACCCCAAAGAATCCCACATGCAATCGCAGACGGGAAAAAAACATACATTCTTCTTTTACCTTAGGTTAGAACGTGTTTATCCCACCTTTATTATTTTTATAAACAACTCAAGGCAGTGAACATACCTAACGTTTCTTCCTCCTCCTATTTTCCCCATAACAACATCCCTGTGAGGTAGATTATGCTGAGAGAGAATGACTGGCTCAAAATCACTCAGCCAGCTTTTATGCCTGAGATGTGACTAGAACTCACATCTCCCAGTTTCTCACCTGTTGCCCTAAACACTAACCCAAACTGCTTCTCGTTCTTCTTTGGTGCGTTACCTTGCTTTCTCTAGATGTGCATTATCTTTTCTATTATTTCACTGCATTTGGTGTTTCTTCAAAGTATAACCCTCTCAGAGTCATTTAGAGTCAGAGCAGCCTCCAAATTCAATAAATAAATGAATCAATCCAGCTGCCTATCCTCAGGCACAAATGCAGGAGGGCAAGAAGGCCAGGCGGTTGTGACAAAGAACAGGACTGCTTCATGCTGAGAGAAGACAACCACAAAAATCTTGTAGGTGGGAGATCGGCAGCGTGGTGTTTCTGGCCTTGTCAGGCCCAATTTGAAGCCTGGCTTGCACAGGCAATTGCCTAATCCTTCCACTCATATATTTCCTGGGGTTTGTCTTCAAAACAGCTGCTCTCTCAGCTTCTCTGACTATGCTGTCTAGGAAAGCTATTAAGCCAACCAAGCTGGTAAGTAGGCAAAGAGCCTAATTCCTGGCACTTGAAATTCCCAGCGTGAATAAGTGGTTGAGGGCTTAGTTAGGCAGCACTATTTTTTTTAGTTTTCTGGAAGGATTCCAGCAAGGAGACATTTTTTGCTGATTAAATCTCTTGAGTGCGGGTTTTTCTTTTTTTAGTATAACTGTGTTTGACATGTTTATTGTTTTTATACTTTTTTTTTTTTGCTGTATGCCACCCAGAGTCACTTGATATGAGATGGGCAGCCATATAAATTTTATAAGTAAATAAATGAATAAATAAAAAGGAAAGAGAGACTGGAAGTTATTCTAAATTATCCCTCTTAATGGTCTTTTCTCCAGGTGACTTTGCTTTGGAAGACTAGTTGTCCAGGTCTCTTGCTGAATTTCTTCCTGAACTATGGCGATATCTGGTAAATTGGCCTCCATGCTTTTCTAAGTGCAAATAGAGAACATCTATTGTATTTTCCTCTATTCATTCTTATTCAGTCTGATGAAAGAACATTTGCTTTATAAAGAAAAAAATTTCTAGTGGGTGGCACACTTAATTAGGATCTAGCCAAGAATTCTATTGTGTATGTATTGTGTATGCATGCGCATATGACAATCTTTCATTCTACACTGATGTGGCCAAGTGGTTAAAATGCAATATGCAAGCAAACTCTGTCCACAGCCTGGAGTTCGATCCTGACGGGGCTTAAGGTTAACTCAGTCTTCCATCCTTCCGAGGTCAGTAAAACGAGGACCCAGATTGTTGGGGGCAGTATGCAAACAATGTTTCTACATTATAAACTGCCCATAGAATGTTGTAAAGCACTTTGGGGCAGTATAGAAGTCTAAATGCTATTGTTATTACAACTGCTACAGTCAACTCTTCTTTGGTCTGCAACCCTCCCAGGTGTCCCACATTTCTACTGAACATTAAGAGAAGACCTCAGGAGGGAACTCTTTCCACAGGACTTCTTCAGGAGTATTGCTGCTAAGGAGGAGCCCTCTCCTTGAAAGACCATCGGAGAAAGTCAGCTTCCCTTGGAGAAATTACCCATCCAATAATTCTTCCCAGAAATTGAGTGGAGAGTTTCCAAAGGTCTCTTATGCCCAGATCTGTACTAGTCATAGGGTAGATGCTCAGAAACTCCACTAGGCTGCTGGACATCTCCTTGGAGTTGTGAGTTCCCACCTTAAAACAGTGGTTGGAAATTACAACCTGGTCCAGGAGAAGGATGCATACAGTATTTCCAAATTCAAGCAGACTTACTGTGATGCAAGTACCGTTTCCTGCGACTCTTCCTGGCTTTCCCTCCTGAGAAGAGGGCATCCATGCGCTCCTTCCACACCGTGTGGCTCTCTGCATCATTGACACCACAGCGAGGGAGACTCATGCGATGGAGAGTGACGGCATCCAGGGTGCCACTGAGGGGCAGGTGAGAAATCCATTGAAATTCCCTGTAAAAGTAAAGGAAGTGGGATGGAAGTTGCACAATATTCCTTTGTTTAAGCCAGTATTTCTCAATCTCAGCAACTTGAAGATGTGCAGATTTCATGGCTGGGTGAGGAATTCTGAGAATTGAAGTCCACAATGTTAAAGTTGCCAGATTGATTGGGAGACACCCAGAACTGGTTAAAAGATGGGTGGCTATATAAATGTTTAAATAAAAAAAAAAAAACACTGATTTAGGTCTTGGTTTTTAAACACAAAAGCATTTCCCACTATAAATTCCTCTTTTTGTGACCCTGTAGTCTCTATTAGGGGTAAAGTCACGACTGGGTAGAGCTGAGCATTTACTGGCCGAATACCCTTCTTGATGCCTAAGTAGAGTTCACAACAGATATTTTTTCTTTGCACCATAGGAGAGAAATATCTGCCGCTATGTTGGATTGAACTCTCAACCTTCCAAATGGAGGTGAGCATCTTTACCACTAAGCCACCACGCCATTTTTAAGCATTTGCACTATAACCCTACAAAACTTGAAGCTGGCAGCAGGGAAAGGACATAAAAGATTTAAGAAAGAGAGCAACCCAGGCAGAGTAGTGGAAGGTGGCCTGAGTCCAGATGGCAGCATTGGCATTTGAGGAATCTACCAGCTGGGCCAAAACTGCTGCATTGGTCATTCTACATAAGAAACTAAGCCCATACAAGGGAAACCACTGGGCAGAACCCATTGTCATTAAAAGCTGGCCAGCTGCGTGCTCTAAGCTAACAGCAGACTGCATAAGAAGGCATGGGAGTTATGGATCAACTAGATATTAAACAGAGATGGAAGGCTGGGAAGTTGTATCGCCAATTCAATTCAAACCAGCAAGGAGAGGATGAGAGTCACAGACTTACTTTATGGCATCTGAGAATCCTTCTGGGTCCGTCACTTGGTGTACAGACTCAAAATAGCCATATTTCTCCAGAAACTTCTAAAATCAAAATAAATAATAATGGGCAAGACACTAGGCTTTATATAAAAAAAAATCAAACCCCTGGCATACTTTTATTATTTCTTTGTAAATCCAACTTTTCTACTCAATGTGTATGCAAAATCTACACACTTTTGATTCTGGATATTCTTGGTCAGTTTTAGAAACTGTAGTTAGCTCCCAAATCTCTTTTAAATACTGGGCTCAACCTCAAAGAATATCCACTTGTAACTGCATGCCACCCAGAATGATGACACCACTTCAACTGCTGTTTGTGTCTGCCAAGAAACCGTTTCAATTCAGAGTTGCAAGATTTATCTTGCAGTTATTCTATCTGCCAGAGAAAATACTTCATTCTAAAGTCTGTATCTCTATCAGCTCTGTTTTTCCCAGCACTCCCTTTCCTTATCAGCTTTTGATTCCTAAAACAAATTCATCCCAGACTGAGCAGAGCAAAAGGGAGAGAACTTCCTTTTCCAGCCATATTATTTTTCCAGAAACCAGATAATCAAAAGAGAAACCACCACAACACAAGACACGATAATGCAGTATCTGTAATATGTAAAATGACTATATTTTTCTGGGAAAAAATAAAGGATAAACCTGAAAAAGGAGGCAACCTGAAAGAGATTAATAATAAGAAAAAAAATACTTGTTTACGTTTATGCTTTAACAAAGTAGATAGTGCCAAATTACGATGATTCCCAATATACACTTTCTTTTAGTTGTCTTGTGTGGAATGAAGGTGAATTTTTACTGCTGCAGAAATGGAAAGTTTGGGAAGGGATGACATTTGTTCCATATTTTTCAAGGTTTTTTTTTTTTTTTAGAAATGAAAACTATAAAAAAACACCATCAAATACTTCTAAAAGATCTGGAAAGAATAGCAGAATGTAAGGGCCAAAAAACACTGTAGGGGGGGGGGAGGAATACCATTTTCATCAATCCTGAAATGGGGAGAGGAATTCATGTTACTGGCACTTTATTCCTATCAGTTTCAAAGTGAAATTGACAAGGCTTTTTTCCACTTGTCAATATCTGTGGGCAATGGGAGGAGATCAGAGGCAAATAGCACACAAAATGACCTATGCTACCCTTCCACTTTTTCTTTTCCTTCCTGGCATGTTACAAGAGATAAGATGGATGGCTTACTGGCGATGGATGGGATAGATGGATCATACAAGGCCAGACAACTGAAATGCTTGTACAGTTTGTCAAAAGATGTGTTTGTATGTGGAGATGGGGACAGGTGGGTATGTGTGCCTTTGAGTTAATATTGACCCTAGTGATCACCCAGACTGTTGTGCAACAACAAATGTATAAACCAGAGGATTTCCTTAACTTTTACCATGTGAGAACAACTAATGGGAATACCTTCTGCCAGGGAAACTAGTTATATATATTCATCAGCATTTCAGGAAATCACTGTGACAAGATCACCATGGATACAATTGCAATGATGTTGAGAACTGCCCTCATAATAACAATGGTGACCATTAGCAGATTTGTATCATTATGGGAAACTATAAACAGTGCAAGGAAGCCATTTTCCTGACCGGTAATTAGCAGACGTTCATAGCTTCAGTTGTAATGAGGAGGAACAGATTCTTGTAGAAAATCAAAGTATTATTTTTTTGGAATCATGCACACATATGCAAGAGACAATGTAATGTAATAGTTAAAGTATTGCTAACAGGGAGACTCAAGTTCTAATCCTCCCTTAGACACAGAAACTGACTGGGTGACTTTGGGCCCTGGATTGAAAAGTCAAAAAACATCTTTTATGCCAGTTTCATTGGACTAGCTTAGTAAAATCTTTCCATTAAAAAAACTCATCCTGCAATGCATTTGGCTGATTATTTTTTTATATGTGCATGTGTATGGATAATATGTAATTACATATTCGTACTATATATTATGGTAATTATTCTCTTATTTTTTAATCATTTCCCTCACTTCCCTACAGTACAGATTTTCTATTTTTGTAAAGTGCCTTGGAAGCAGAAGTGAAAGGCTATATGTACATCTTGACAGAAATACAAATAAAATAATTGCATTATGTATCTGCAGTAGCGAGTTTAAATCAGGGGACAGGAAGAAATTCAGCTATTTCGACTTAAGACTGAGCAACAGAAAACAGGAAAGTCACAGTAGAAAGAATGCGGTAATGTTCCTCTTCAGACAACCTATAAGGAATCATATATCAGAAGTAGGCAGAAGATTTCCAAGCAATCATGAAAGGAATTTGAAAGTGTGTGATATTTAGCCTGTACAGGCTATAAAGTTAACATTTCAAGGAGTGACATTGATCCAATTTTAATTGGGGAAAATGTCTACTTTGGAAGGTTTTTGTAAGGCTGAGAAAGAGATAAAATGTGTTTATAAGTTCCAAATTGGAACATTCATGACACTTGTCAGAGAAAATATAATAATATAATCTGTCCAGATAGCATCAGGATTAAAAGCTGCTTCATGAGTTAACTCCAATCAGAGCTCTCAACTCTCTTTCAAAACAGCTTTTTAACAGCTCTACTCTTGACCCCAGAGCATTAAGAAACTCTGGGTCTCTTCCCCCCACCCTAATTTCCCCAAAGAGGAAATTCCATTTTCTATAGAATATTCTGAAGCAGCAGGAAATAAACAACTGAGCGTCATGGGAAAACTCACTACAAAACCTGCCCTAAACTAAAGAAATACCTCTTCCATTTGTTCTGTGCAATGGGGAGGGGGGGAAGGAAAGACGCACAGATACAGACAATCCACTCACCTCATTAATTTCTCTCTGGGCTTAAGACCAGAGGCTGCCTCCAGAAACCACAAATCAAGGCCTGTCAAGACTGACTGCTGCATGGATGACAAGTAGCCTCACAAGGACCAGAATTTTAGAGAGGGCGGGAGAGAAGCTCTTTGTTCCCGCAAAACAGCGGAGAAGCAAGATTTGGACTGCATATTCTTGTTAGGACATGAAGTAGTAATGCTGAAGAAACAGGCTGGGAAATGCATTCTAAACAGATGCTTTTTGCAAATTAGGAGGGTTGCTCCAGAGGCCAGAGGCTTAAGCAGTAGGAAAGGGGGTCAAGGGGTTAACAAATGTCAAAAGTAACATAGCACTGTTATGACATGAAGAACGGTTGCTGGATTTAGGTTTAGCTAGTCTAGAGGAAAGAAGGACTGGGGGGACATGATAGCAGTATTTCAGTATTTGAGAGGTTGCCACAAAGAGGAGGGGGGTCAACTTATTTTCCAAAGTACCAGAGGGCAGGGCAAGAAACAACAGATGGAAACTAATCACGGAGAGAAGCAACCTGGAATTAAGGAGAAACTTCCTAACAGTGAGAACAATTAATCAGTGGAATGGCTTGCCGTCAGAAGTTGTGGGTGCTTCATTGCTGGAGGTTTTTAAGAAGAGACTGGACAGTCACTTGTCTGAAACGGTATAGGGCAAGGGTGTCAAACTAGCGGCTCGCGGGCTGGATGTATGATGTGCAGGCCTCGCCCACCCCAGCTCCGCAAAGGCAAAACCCATCGCGATATGTCATGATACATTGTGTGATGCAATCAAGTTTGACACCCATGGTATAAGGTCTCCTGCGTGAACAGGGGGTTGAACTAGAAGACCTCCAAGGTCCCTTCCAGCTCTATTCTGATTGATTGATACAAGATACACTCCTGTGCTATAATGTTGCAAGCATACACAGAAGAAGAAAAAAAAGTCTGCCTCACATTGGCACGTTGCTAGTTTTGTCATTTCAACAAAAGCCTCAGGTCCTGCGAACACATCTACAGGATCTATCCCACTGTTAGATGAGCTGCTGCAGTGGCAGATTGTTGAGTTCTTTGGCAACTGTCTCAAAGCCAAAGCACCACTTTTTCAAGCACAATTTCACCAGCTTCTTTTTTACTGAAGGGAATTGATGGAGCTGCAAGAATTCCAACAACTAACTTTACAGCCAGAATGTCCCCATGTGGTTATAAACTGGAGATTTTCTGATTTTCTTTCAAGCAGCTTGTCTACAGCAGGCGTCTTCACTGGTAACAGGAAATCAGGCAGCTGGTTGTTTACATAATGGTCTCCTAAATCCTTATGAGCCTGGGAACCAACTACAGTGTCACACTGATGCTGAACAGAGAAGTTGACAGAGAAGACTGTCAATGAGTGAAAACATGGAGCTGTTTGTGTAACACTACCTCTCTTGCATCCCCTAAAGTAAACTATCCTATTTTCACTGGTTGTCCAGTTTCTTTTCTGGCTGAATCCTATTGGGCTAGCCCATGCAATGACTTTCACAGAGACTGGTCTAGCCAGACAGATATGGCAGGTGATTTCAGCACAGATACTTATACCTTCTGCCCAATGAATGCCTTCATTTCAGTCAGGATGTAGCCACAAAGCCCTTTCTCAGTTCCAAAATTCATATACAGATAGTATAGAGTAGGAAGATTACCTTGTAAGAGGCAAAAGGGCTGATTTTTTTTTTAAATCCAGGGCAGCCAGATAACAATCAGAATCAGCTCAGATGGATGCCTCCTAATTTACTGAACTATAAGGGGGAGGAGGAGGAAGTATAGCACAATCAGACTTGCAAGATTTTGGTATTAGAGCCAAGCTCAATAAAGGAAGTTTTAGCCTTCCTGTGGAGCTGATTTTAATGGCCTGGGCTATCTAGTGGGACTGACATATCTCTTTATTTATGAAGAACCAGACTTCTTCTGAGTACATGTTCCAACTGAATGACTCTTTCAACAGTGTATCTTCGGGGAATGTCTCAGGAACCAGTTCCTGTTTACGAAATTTTATAAAGTATAGGTCAGCGGTCCCTAACCTTTCTGATTTGGCAGACTGGCGGCGGGGAGTGGCAGGCACACGCACAAGTACGCACAGCTCTATTTGCACAAGCGGCACAGCTCCACTTGTGCAAATGGAGTTTTGAGTCTGTGAGCAACCGCTGGTTGCACAAATTGAGCTTTGCATGCAAGGTCCATTGCAGCCTGGTTTTGAATGGGGCTGCAGCCAACAAGTGGGATGTGGCCCGGGGGTTGGGGGTCCCTGGCATAAGTAGTTCTCAACCTGTAACCACAGTTGGGACTGGAACTTTTATTGCTAAGTGAAGCAGTTGTTAAGTGAGTCACATCCACTTTTATGACCTTTTTTGCTGCAGTCATTAAGCAAATCTCATGGTCATTAAGTAGAGAGGGACGCCTTTAAGCCAGCATTGACTCCTGGCAATTTGCCTGGACAAGTCCCATCAGAAATGGTTTGCCATTGCCTGACTCCTAGGGCTGGGAGAGAGTTGCTCAGCTGCACCTAAAATGGGACTAGAACTCACAGTCTCCCCGCTTTCTAGGCCTGGAGCTTTAACCACTTCATCAAACTGGCCACAGTGTTGGTACCAGTATAAAGGCTTTAAAACAGTGGTTTTCAACCTGTGGGTCGGGACCCCATTTGGGGTCGAACGACCATTTCACGGGGGTCGCCAAACGCAGTCCGCCATTTTTTTCCCTTTTTCCTTAGCGGGGCTACTCCCTTTTATTCTATTGGCTTTTGAAAGCCAATAGAATAGACTCTCTTGAATAGAGTCTAATTCTATTGGCTTTCAAAAGCCAATAGGAATTGTCCAGGCTGTCTCTGCCCTGCTGAGCCCGCCAAAAGTCCCATTCTGCAATCGGTGCTGCACCAGTTGAGTAGTCCTCGACTTACGACCAGTTGAGTAGTCCTCGACCTACGACCGGTTGGGGGTCGCGGCATTAAAAAGGTTGAGAGCCACTGCTTTAAAAAGAATGAAAAAAGTAGTGACAAAGAATAGTGCTACCAACAGCTATTAAGGTAGACAGTCAACAGAGCCTCTCTACACAAAGGAAGCATTGTCAGACACCAGGAACACACAGCCGGGGAATGCCAGTCTCTCTCCAACTAGCTTAATTTCCATATTCTCTAGGAAGGAATTTTAGACCCATATATCAGGAAAACTTCAGTATAACAGGAATGGCATTGTTACGTTTAGAATCACAACCTCGGTCAAGTAACTTTCAAGCCTCTTTCACTTTTTATGATGAGAGCCACCTCTTACCTAGTCCCCTTCCTGAGGGACTGTAGGCCGAGATCTAACATGGATCATGTCTCTGGGCATGTACAGAGATTTGTCTTCCTTCCCGGCTAACTAACCCCTGCGCGGTCCCGATCTCCGGCATCCCTCCCGCCTGCCTGCCTCACCTGAGCCGCTCCGGGCTGGCTTCTCCCGCCGGTGCTCGTCTGGACGGGCAGGAGCCCAAGCAGCGCCGCGATCAGGGCAGCAGCCGCGGCCATCGCCTCGCCGCCGCTCCGCCTCCCGTCCCGCCGAGGAGCTGATCGATGGAGCTGGGAAGCTCAGCCCCGCTCAGCCGGCTTCGGCCTCTCCTCCCCTCCGGCAGGGCTGACTGAGCACGCCCAGGTCTGCAGGCAGGGTGCCGGGTGAAGCCCTCCGCCGCCCTCTCGGGCTCAATCGAGAAGGTAGCCTCGCCTCGCCTCGCCCCGGCGCGTAACTCGGCCGCGCCTCCTGGGGCTTCGGGGTGGGCAGAAGCCCAACCGGTGGAAGACCAGAACCAAAGTACAGCCGCGGGGAGGATTTTCCTGAGCGCCTCTGAACTTGGGAAGAGCTGAATCCGTTTCCCGAAGGACCCGGTCCCTTTCTCTTGGGGGAAACGCACGCCAGCACTTGCGATGGGGTTCCCCCCCCCCCAACCATTGGTTCCCAGTCCCAGCTGCTTCTGAACAGAGGGATCCTCTTCCTAATACTTTGGGGTGGGGGGGCGGTGTCTTCCAGCAGAAAAGCAGAAAAGCTACGTGGAAGTGGGAATTGCGAGGAAGGAAGGAAGGAAGGAAAGACGCCTGGGGGTTAACTAGATTGATTGATTTGTTGCATTCGCTAAACTAATGCATTGCAAACAGTAGTCAGAAAAGTAAAGCTGGCCCGATGACATCATTCGCCACTCCCCCCCCCCAAACAAAATCCCAGGGAGATTTTAGCTAGTGTTCTCCACTGATTTCAAATCATGCCCATCTAAGAATTCCTTTTGGGGATAAGCCAGCAACGCTCTGCAAAGTGCAGAAAAGGAGACAAATGCTCAGCCAAAGGAAACAGATCTGGTATTTGTCCCAATATTTAATGGCACTGATCAGCCCATGAAAATGGACTTCTGCTACCCAACATGGCTTTGGTCAGTTTAAAATTTTTACAACAGTGGTTTTGGCAAGATAAAGAAAGTTTCAGCAAAGTTGGCTTTGGCACATTTTGGGCAGTTTGCTATAAAGGCCACCAAAGCCCCACCTTACCCATGAGCTTGCTGACAATGTGCTAGGCAAGCTACATTCTCTAAACTAGAGACTGCTTTGCAACCCAGACTAGTATGTTGGAGGCAGATATTTCACATTTAATTATCATTTATTGCACAAATGTATTGTTTTTAAGACAAAGGCTCAAATGCAAGGATGGAAGAGGCATTAACTCACACAGAGGGGGACAGATCTTATTGGAGTAAATCGGTGGTTCTCAACCGTTCCTTCACTATGGACCCCCTTTAAATACTTTTTTGGCCACAGACCATGGCCACAAACCCCCAAGACTTAATTCAAGATTCAAATTATAACATTTCTTCAAGCCTTGGCCTGTGATAACCTGCTGTGATGACATAATGGCTCCCTAGTGATCTGTGGACCACAGGTTGAGAACCACTGGTGTAAACTCTTGTGAAGTCCTTGGTGCTCTTTGATATTGGTTGTTTGCTGGCAGACATTCAATTACCAGACTAGGTAACATCTTCAGTGTTACAAGGGAGTGAAGTTTGCTCTCATAGACAGCAACCTTCTACACTGAAAATGTTACCTAATCTGGTAATGAAATGTCAACCAGCAAACAACTAATCCCAGAGAGCACTTCATTCATAAGAACACACATAAAGAAAACAAAAATTAAAATGCTTATACTCTGCGAATGTCCCTCAACGCTGGTCTAAGTTAATACAGATTTTTTAAAGTTAAAATTTACTGATTGATAAGACACTTTCTTTTTAAGATTGTAAGTGTCAAGAGCCTGTTTGATGTAGTAGTTAAGGCAGCAGGCTAAAACCAGGAATTTTAGTCTCATCTTAAGCATGAAGTCAGCTGGGTGTCCTTGGGCCAGTTACTCTCTCTTAACCCTAAGAAGGAGGAAATGGAAATCACTTCTATAATTTTGCCAAGAAAACTGCAGGGACTAGCCTGGGCAGTCACAGTAGGAGTTAATACTGACTGAAAGACATAAAAAGTAAATAAGTTAGTGCCACTAATCAGATTTCATGAGTTCAGTAGAAAATCCTAAAATGTTTATCTAACTAAGTATGAGGCTCTTCTGTTTATTGCTAAAGAGAGTTTTGATGCTTGCCAGATAATTCTTGGATCTGTATTTTCTTCAGCTTGATTTCCCTAGCTGGCTGAGTTTCACAGCCAAGTATACTGTTGTGGGTTAGCCAAAGTACTTTGTTTCTGTAATTTTGGCTAGATACAAGTTTAGTCTGGGGTAGATCAGTTACAACTAGATTTCTTTGGTATTCTGAATTTCCCATCTATTAGGGTCCTGTTCTCGAGAATAGCTTGTATGAGTAACAAACTGGCTTGACTGCTCAAATTTGCTATCTCATTTCTTTGTTGAAGGCTTTCAAGAAGAGACTGGACAGCCACTTTCAGAAATGGTATAGGATCTCCTGCTTGAGCAGTGGGGTGGATTAGATGACCTACAAGGTCCATTTCCCAGAATTCCTCAGCCAGCCAGCAAAAAGGAAACTGCCTGTGGAATTCTGGGAATTGAAGTCCATGTCTTAAAAGTTGTCAAAGTTTAAAAACACTGGGCCAGTGGTGACGAAGCTATGGCACAGGTGCCAGAGGCGGCACTCAGAGCCCTCTCTGTGGGCACGCATGCCGTCGCCCCCGTCCTAGGCCTTCAACTGGGTTTTATAAAACCTTTTCACTTTAGGCCTCCGCCACCATGTGAAAAAAAAAAAAGGTTCAATCAGTCAATTTCAACTTCTCGCAGGGAAAAAAAATCTTGCAAAGTTGAAATTGATTGAACTTTTTAGTCCCACCCAGTCTGCCGTTACCACCGTAGCTATGCCCACCCAATGGGCCATGTCCACTCAATGGGCCACACCCACCCGGCACTCGACGATTCATAAGTGGGTTTTGGGTTGCAGTTTGGGCATTCAGTCTCTAAAAGATTCGCCATCACTGCACTGGGCTATTGGAAGACTGAATGTGTTTCTCCTCCCTCCCTTTTATACCTCATTGGGTTAGGGGGGGGATCCAAACTGAGTCTCTTCTTAATGCTATCTCCTTCCTCAGCATTTAAGGAATGCTTCTGTCCTTTTTTGTGTATGTAACAGTTCTGAATATTTCTTTAAGGCCATCTTCATAGCTATCTACACCTAAAGAGACAGTGGGCTTTGAAAGTGCCAAATTCTAACTACTAAACCACCACACACGATTTCAATTAAATGTTTTACATAAATACCATAAGAAACATTTAGAATTGTTTTGCATCAAAGGGACTAAGCAAAATGCTAACAGGATTTATGTAAAGACGATAGTGCAGGAAAACATGAACAAAATTTTCTAACGCCCCGTCTTCATGCTGTCCAAGTCTTTCCTTTCGTGAGATCTTCTTTTCTTCTTTTGAAAATATCTTTATTAAATTTCAAAATCAAACATTAACATACAAACTCAAATAAAAGGAAAAGGGGGAGCAAAATAACAAGAGAGATTAAAAACAGAAAAAAGAGATCAAACAAATCTATAACAAAAATGACCTCCCACTTTTTTAGTACAGAGATAATAGCAATACAGCAACCTCTCTCTTAAGTTTAAGTGAATGATACCAATCTTTAATTAAAATACCTTAAAGTACATCCAACATTCTAAGAAATCAGTATTCACAATCCTTCACATGAGATCTTGTATCTCCCTTCAAGAATTGCTGATGGGAGACTATCAAAGCAAGCAAGCTGAAAACTCTCCAATATTTTGGGAGAAGGAGTTAAGATGTTATGTTGCTTATGGGATATATACAAAGTGATGAATTACACACTTGCGGGAATTCTGCTTAATCTTTCTATCTGCCCATTTCTTAGTCTTCATTCCAGGATGTATTTGGCATGGCCCTACCCCATTACCCAAATCCTGAGGGGAAGTCTTCTGCCCTACCCTATCTTTCCAGGCTGCACGGAAGAAGTTCACCATTATCAGTGGGGCCAGGTCTTGTGGGAGGAAATTCTACTGAGCCAGACATTACATATTCTTACCCAGACTGGTTAACAGCCTTGGAGAGAATGCTGCATTAAGTACAACATGCCATTTGATTTTCCTTAAAAACCTGGATTGGATAGACATATCCAGGCAGGACTGAGCCCTAATTCCACTTCATAAAGAGGTTCAGATAGACATACTGTGTTGACAACTTTAAGTTATGTGGACTTCAACCCCCCGGGATGGGTCCCAGAATGACTGGCTGGGGAATTCATGGCTGGCTGGGGAATTCTGGAAATGGAAGTCCACATAACTTAATTTTCCCAAGGTTGGGAAACACTGCTGTAGGCTTTCTTTTTCTTGAAACCTTTCTGTTCCAAAGAAAGAAATATTTTCTGTCTCCATCTAGTCTGGGAATTTCCAGCATAAATAATTTTTGTGTATCTTGCTTACTGTATCAAAAAAAATTAGTTGCTGTAGGTGAAAGTTTTCAGGGAAATCTTCCTTTCTTGAAAATGGCATGATTATGGCCAAACCCGTCTTTGGTTATTCGGTCTATATAAATAAATAATCAGGCCAGGATTGGCACCTACCATTCCTGATTGTTTTTTTTATATATATACTCCAGAAGAATCACATCAATTTTGTGGTTACTTTCTGGGTTTGGGCCACTTTTGAGACCCATAGCTAGGAGAGGGTGTAGACAGCAACAGCTTAGCCAAAAGATGCGACCACAATTGAACCCAAAATTTCTATGGCTAAGTGAGACATTTGTTAAGTAAGTTTTGCCCTATTTTACGACCTTCCTTGCCAAAGTTGTTAAATGAATCACTGCAGTTGTTAAGTTAATAATATGGTTGTTAAATGAATCTGTCTTCCCCATTGACTTTGCTTGTCAGGTCGCAAAAGGGGATCACATGACCCCAGGACACTGCAGCGGTCATAAATATGAGTCAATTGCCAGGTGTCTGAATTTTGATCACATGACCATGGGGATGCTGCAACGATTGTAAACATGAAAAATAGTCATGTCACTTTTTCAGTGCCCTTGTAAGTTTGAATGGTCACTAAACAAACTGTTGTAAGTCAAGGACTACCTGTATTATGTAAACATCTTGATTGATCAAAACTCAGATGAGCAGTAATCAGTATCAATGCATCCCTTAGCATTTGTGAAAAATAACGATACATTGTTGCAGTCCTTTGTTTGAAAGTACGCTTACCTGCCCTGGGCAAAGTCAGCTAAGCTGGA